TGCGAAACCTGGAACGGGCTGTCGGAATTGCTCAATGAGAAGAATTTCTGCCTTCGGCACACTTGACCATGGGAGGCCCACGTGGTTTACGGGGAGGAGCCCTTGGTGTATTATGTAACACCCTGATCAGGAATGTTGACACACTGCAGATATTTTGGCAGCTCTTCTTCCCCTTTCCAACACCTTCTAGTGAGTGGAACGGGCGGTCAGGGTGACTCATGCCTGCTAAGAGTTCTCTAGGTCCAGGCAGTTAGAACAGGTCAGGAGGAGGCAAGGAGAAAGACTGGTTTAGGTGGGGGGGGGAATGTTCCCCCCCCAGGGAGAGGCAGTGTTTCCTTTGAGCACATCCCTCGGCAGGAGGACCTGCCAACAGCAATGCGTAAGGGTTGAGGTCACCCTTTTCCTGACCCCTTCCATGGGTGTTCCCATAGCTGTTGTTTTTTTCCTTGCAAGCTAGTCTTAAGAGGGTTATTTTTTGTGTGCCAAGTGGTGTCATAAGGAGCAAGTGGTCAGGCTTATAGAGTACCTGTTCTCAATGGGGTTGGGGGGAAGCTTCTCGTGTCCCCCCCCCCAAAAGTTCTTGAAGAGCATAATTTCCAGCTCTTTCTTGGTTGGTTTCCATGCCTGCGAGGGAACCCAACAACGAGGTGTGAGTTTGCTGAGCATTTCTGAGCAGATGTTCTTACATCCTGGAGAGTAAAGATTAAATTTCCTCTCTCAGGGTCCTGTGTCATGGTGTCCTGGGACCCTACAACCTTTCTCCCCAAAGGCTGAGAGGTTCTCCCTGCAGAGTGTGGGCGCATCCTGTGCATTGGTCCTTCAGCCAGGCATGTGTGCCCGTCCACCATAGTCTAGTTCCCCAGCACAAGGTGGGGGGGGAGATTTTTTTAGAAGTTTTTCAGCAGCACCGAGACCAACAGGTCTACGTTAGCATGGCCACCATCCGGTTCATGCTGAAAAAAATCTGTTCCCTTTAAAGGGGCCCAAGGACTCGGCCTCCTTCTGCTTTTTTTGTTAAGTTGCGGTAGGCTCTGGAAAGCCATGCACAACGGCGTGGCTCCTGTGCTAATCCCAGAAGCAAGACCCGGTCTCCGTGGGAGCAGCCCGTCTGTTCCTGGCCTGCCCAACCCCCCCCCCCCCGGCCCTGAGAGGCCTTGGGTGCATCACAAGGCAGATAAGGCTCTTTGCTGGGTACACAGTGTGTTCCTTGCAGCTTGCCAAAAAAAGAGGGAAGAGCCGGGCACCCGGGTGGTACGATTGGCTACGGGAAGCCCTTCCCCCTTCAGCCCGGCTGGGACTGGGAGAAACAGCCCTTACGCAAGTGGGCCGGCGGCCAAAATCCCGGGACAACATGGTAAACACTGAAACGGAGAACACCAGCATGCGCCCTATCGGAGGCCCCGTGGACGTCGGTTTCCTCTGCTGACGCTGGTCCTTTGCATGAGTTCAACACAACGGATGGCTTTTCCTTTGCTTTCATTTTCCATCTTTGGGCAGTACCCTGATGACGCCCTTCTTAACTCTATGCCCTCAAGTTGCCCTCCACTCATGGCAATCCCATCAAGGAGCGATCTCCAACATGCCCTGTCCTCAACAGCCCTGCTCTTGCAGACTCAAGCCTGTGGCCTCCTTTAAGGAGTCGTTCCCTTTTACATTTGGTCTTCCTCTTTTCCTGCTGCCTTCTGCTGTTCCCACCATTATTTTCTTTTCCGGAGAATCCTGCCTTTTCAGGATGTTCCCAAAGGCTTCAGCATCAACATTTTTTGCCTCCAGGGAAAGTTCAGGCTGGCGTGCCATCATCCAGCGTCCTCTGCAAAGCTCTCCACCAGCCCCACGGCTCAAATGAATCCATGTCTTTTTTTTTTCCTGCCTGCTTTCTGAACTGCTCAGCTTTTGAACCCATCCATGGTGATTGGAAAGACAAGAACGTGGATGACCTTGGTCTTAGTTTTCAGGGACACCTCTTGACATCCTTGATGATCTTTTCTGATTCCTTCAGGGCTGCTTTTAGCCTTCTTCCTGACTCCCATCATTTCCAGCCCAAGGAAAAGCAACTTACCAGCACTCAGCTCTTGTCCAGAGTCCGTGGCCCTCTGTGCCATTTTTCCCTTCCTCGTGCCAGGGAATTGGGGTGGGATCTTTTCTCATGCAGAATAAGCAATAAGTATCTTAAAGCCACCGGATGGGATCATTGCATAAAATCCCATCAGTAACCCTCGGGGACACCCAGCATCTTCAGACGAGGTTCCAGGCTGGTGTTCTGGCAGAGCTTTTGAGTTCTTCAGGAAGCTTCATTGGGGTGTATCATACTAAAGGTAGAAGAGAAGCAAAATGTTCCAAAACCTAGCCAGGTGTTTGGGGCATGGTGTCTGCAGGCAGGCTTAACTTCTCAGGTGGAGGTGTTCTGTCTCAGAAAACAGAAGTATAAAGGTCTTGGTTTATACACAGGATTGTTTGCTAGAGGGCATATAAGAATAGCCACTCTCTGCCAGATGCTGAACTCAATGAGCTATTCAACCAGCTCCATATTTGTGTGCTGTCAAGTCAGTTTAGATTTCTTGCAACCCTTTTCTGGAAGACAGAGAATATGCAGAACTGGATTCTCATTCCCTTCCTCTGGGGACGCAGTTGGCCCAAGGCTACCCAGGCTGGTTCTTATAATATCCACAGCGGGGGAATTGAACTCCCAACCTCAGTCAGAAACCTCAACCACAGAGCTATCTGGGTTCAAACTGGGTGGTTAAAAGCTTGTGGATGGGCTTATATCCCCCTTGCCCTGCTGCCTCAGAAGCTGCCAGAATTGAGGCTGGTCATCACAACATGCCTGCTCCCGTTTTGGTTGCTGATGTGCTCGGCCGGTCCTGTCGTGGCAAGCTTCCCCCAAGAATCTCCCATCCAACTTTGGCAATCCTACCCACTCGACCTTGATGCATGGGAGTGAGTCCTTGCAAGGACATGAAGAGAATGTGGTTTGTCTCCCACCGCTGCAAAAAAAAAAAAGTGATTTATGCTTTCCAGGGAAAGGAAATCGGTCTAGAAGGATTGCCATTGAGTTCAGCCTTAGTCAATAGACTCATCCCTCATGTCCCCTGAATCGGTGTGCCCTTGGGCCAAACCCTCATTGGTCCACCATAGTTATGGCCCAGGCTTCCACCCTCTGGTCTAGCCAGCTGGTGGAGGGATGGAGCAGGTGGTGAAATCCAGAGAACTGCAAATAAGGTTTGTGTTTTTCTTTTCTTTTTTTTTCCAGCTCCTGCACCTCTGCGTTCGAGAAGGAGACAGGCAGTAAGTAAAGAGGTCCTCCTGGCATCTCATGATTCAGCATCAACTTGGGAAGGGTGGCTAGATTGGGGGTGGGGAGAGAGATCATTGTATGGCTTCTTCGCCATGGTTCTGTGAAATGGCAAATTGGAGATTTGCAGCCTTTCTGTCAGTGATAGAGATCTTTATTGCTGGGGGTCAAGGCCCACATTATGGTGTTCCCAGTTACTGGCTGTGGATATGAAATCCAGACATTACAAAAGGTTGGAAAGTGGAGGGGGGGAAAGATTGATTTGAAACACAGCGTTGAAGAACTTTACAGGTACCCTGGATTGCCAGAACAACAAAATCGGTTCTGAACAATCTCTAGAACCAAAACAGAACGAACCTGTGTTGGTTTACTTTGGGCATATCGTGAGAAGATTCATTGAAACCATCAAAGATGGAGAAAACTGGAAGGCAGTAGGAAGAGAGGAAGATGTCACCTGAGATGGATACACCCAATAAAGGAAACCACAAGCCTTAGTCTTGATCTTGTTGGTTCAGTCTCTTCCTCTGGAAGGCTATCAAGGCAGAAGTTGTCCAGGCATTTATTTTAAAGGCTCTTTCTCTCTCAAATGCAGAGCAGAGAGAAAAACGGTACAGTGTGCATCGCAGGTTTGGCGACCGGCGGGATGGCGTGGTCAGCGCCCGCACCTACTTCTACGCAGATGAAGCCAAGTGCGACCGGCATGTGGAGACCATCCTGAAATGCATCGAGGCCTCCGGTAAGTGAGCTGGCCGGCGGGCTGGCCCTTCCTGGAACGCTGCGGCCCCATTTTCATTGCGTTGAATCCATTGCAGAAACCCAATGAGTTTCCTTCCTCTGGGCAGAAGTGGCACTGGGTCCAGTTTCTGTCTCCAGAACCTGCTGTGAAAACCCCCTCTAAAGGCCCATCAAACCTTCACGAATTTTCCACCCCCAGCTTAAAACAAAGTGGGCTGCTAGATGTATCACCCCCAATAGTGCTTCAAGCGCTCTCTAGGCAGCTTACAATTTAATTATTAAGGATACACATTGACCACACACAGAGAGAGCGAGCAAGCTGAGCCTGCTGGCAGTAGAGTCTTGACTGCAGTACTGCAGTTTAACCCCCTTTGCCACGTGGCTCCTTAAAGGAACTCGGGGAGCAGAACAGAGCCCCTTCACCCCACCAACAGGCGGTCTGATTTGAAATACTGGGACCTGGGTTCAAATTTCCACCCCACTTAACTCTTTCTCTTGTTATGAAGCTGAAATGGATAAGGGGGGTGCGATCCTGCATGGTCCAAGGTCCACCAGAAAAAGCGCTGGGTTTTGGAGCTTCCGTGCGAGGATACGGAGTGAACCGGGCATGCTTTTTTCTCTTTTCCAGGGGGCAGCTCCAAAGATGGCTTTTCTGCCGTTAAGCTGACGGCACTCGGACGGCCCCAGTTCCTCGTAAGTAGAGCTGCATCTGGTTTCTTGACTCTTCCGCCAGCCTTAAATTGAAAATGCGGATGCCTGTTTTGTGTCCTCAATTGTGTAATCTATCTGCTTGATTTTTGGAGCAAAGCCTATTTACCTTCCAACTTCCCCTCGCTGAACTGAAATGGCTGATCAGGAATTAAGCTGGTTTAAAGTTTTTTGAATGTTCCCTTCAAACACATTCCGAACTTGATGTGGAAGCAATCTGGACGCGGTAATACTTGTTTTTAAACTATTACTACAAAGCCGTGTATTTCACTTACCTGATTTGGCAGTGGAAAAGGAGCCCTCCTTCCTTTATAGGGGCTTGACTATAATCCGGCCACCTCATTTTTATTTTATTTTTGCTTCCTTGTTAGGCATTTACGAAACAAAAGGGATTTTGCAAAGACACTGCCCAGTTTCCAAGCTCCTGGAAGGGAATGAAACGCAGCTTGTCTGGGTCTGTGGGAATCCGTCTTGAACAAGTTTTAATTTTGGCTTCGCACTCCGAAGGTGGAGTCATAACGCTGGCGTGATTTTAAGGCTGTGAATGTCGGAGTCTGCTATTGTAAGCAAGGAACCGAGAAAAAGCTTTCCTCTCTCCTTACAGAGAGAGAGATATGTGTGCAAGGGGCTCTTTTTTCCCCCCTTTGGAAACCTTGTGGGAAATCTCACAAAATTCCTTGGATGTTTTGTGCGGCTTTTTCCCCTCCCCTGGAAGGAACACCCGGACGTTGATTGCGGCTGCTCCACCAAGCGGTGTCTTTTCTGCACGAGATTTCCTGGAAACGAGAACTCTGCAGAATTTTGAAGCCGTCTTCTTATTGTGGGAAGTCAGATCCTCTCACTCTTTTGGAGGAATTTTCAGGAAGGCGTCTCAGCCTGGCAAGGCTTTGGAGATCTCTAAAATAAAGCCGTTTTTCAAGCACTCTCTGCCTTCTTAGCTTGGATTATGATGCATTTAAGGGTTTTATTGTACCCCCTGTTTCCTTCAGCCCAAATCTGCATCCGTGCACTCGCACCCACACACCCTCACCCGTCTACTCTCCCTCTTCTTCTCCCCAGCTCCAGTTCTCCGAGGTGCTGGTGAAGTGGCGGAGGTTCTTCCACCAACTGGCTGCCGAGCAGGGCGTGGTGGGGCGGGCGGCTCTGGAGACCAAGCTGGAACTGGAGAAGCTGCAGGTGAGCCTCCCTGTTTCCTCCCATCACACCGTTCCGCCACCACCCCTCTTCCGGCCAAGATTTCCTCCCATTAATCCACAAAGATAGAATCCTAGAATAATGGGGAAATGGGTTCCCTTGTTGTACTGCTCCAACCGTTAAGAGGTTTTCCCTGATACTCAGCTTAAATTGGACTTCCTCTTACTTGCACTTATTCTTACGTATCCTGCCCGCTGGAAGGATGGAGAACAGATCCTGTCCCTCCTTCGTAGGACCACATTTGAAGTCTTTGAAAAGTGCTCTCCAACCTTCCATTCATCTTCTTTTTTCAAGGTTAAATAGGCCCAGTTCTTTCATTCTTTCCTCCCAGGGCTTGGTTTCCAGCGTAGGACCACCTTTGAAGTCTTTGAAAAGTGCTCTCCGACCTTCCGTCCAACTTCTTTTCTCAAGGTTAAACAGGCCCAGTTCTTTCAGTTTTTCCTCCCAGGGCTTGGTTTCCAGCCCCCCTGATACGCCTTGTTGCCCTCCTCTGAACTTGCACCAATTGATCAGCATCTTTCTTGAAGTGCGGTGTCCAGGATCAGCATCTTTCTTGATGTGCGGTGTCCAGCATTGCTGAATAGAGGGGGATAAACAAGTACTTTGTGGGATTTGGAGACTCTCCTGTTCATGCAGACTAAAATCACATTGGTCTTTTTTGCAGCTGCATCACACCCTTGGCTTCTATTCAGCTTGTGATTCACAACCATTCCAAGATCCTTCTTGCTCATAGTACTACTGAGCCAAGTATCCCCCATCATGTCACTGTGCCTTTGGGGTTTTATCTTCTAGAGAACTTTGTAATGCGCTCCTGTTAAATTTCATTCTGTTGAAGAGTTAACTGTTTTTAGACTACAACTGCTTGAGTTGACAGCTGCTCCCTGAGCGTTATGGGAATGGTAGTCTCCTATAGTAATTTTTCTCAGTCCAGAAGGAGACATTCTAACTTTTTATTCAGTACAGTCGGGGACACGAATAAGAATGTCTGATGCTAACTTGATTAAGAGGGAGGATTTTCAGGAGGGGGGAATCCTTAGGATGGGTTTACCTTTTTCCCCCGAACCAAAACCAACCCCTGAGAGACTGTCACAGCCCCACCAGCAGTGTTGGGGGGGATGCATAGCACAGATGCTCTCCCCCAGACTTAAGAGTTTTGCCTTCTGGTTTCGGCAGGAGACGCTGGCCAAGATGGGGATCGCCACCCGGGCTGAGAGCCAGCACTGGTTTACGGGAGAGAAACTGGGGGTGTCTGGGTAAGTAACTACATCGGGGCTCATATTTCAGCATCCTGGGGATGTCTTTGCTTAGCAAGCTTTGAAGAGGGCAGGAGACGGCGTTGGCAGCATGGTGTAGGGGCTAGAGCATGGGCCAGGGAGACCCGAGTTCAAATCCCCACTTGGATATGAAGCTCTTCAGTAGACCACATGTTGACTGGTCGAGGTGTCATCAACTGAAGCAGAATCGGTCCAGGGTGGAAGAGACCATCAGAAAGACTTCTTCACATTGTGCCTTGTTAGTCTGTAGAATCCAAGATGGGGCGGCCCCTGCCAACTTGGAGGGCTTTAAAGAGGGGATAGAATAGACTCAGGGGGGTTAAGGCTGCCGAACCCTTGTGAGTCGCGATGGCCCTCCCCCTCCTGCCTCCGCGCTTCCCTTGGTGGGCGGAATGTCGCGCTAGAGACGGCCCGGGGTCAGATGCGGCACAGCTGCTCTTACATTTCGGAGAATGTTTTGCACCCGTCTGCTTTTCTGCACAGCTTTTTTTGGGATCAGAAGGGACATTTGGAATGTTTGCTGGAAAGTTGTGATGTTTCCCACCAAGCTCAGGGTCTACAGTTGGTGCATGTGTGTGTTTTCTTATGAAAGTGCAAAAACGCCAGGTGTAATTTATTCCGATGCGCAGAGCTGTGGGCTGGCGGGTGGGTGGGAAGCCCCCTTGCACATGATGAATAAATGTCTTATTGGGGGGGGGAGTTTGGAGTCCTGAAGCCATCCAGATGATCTCCAAAGCGAGATTTCTCCTTCTCCTTCTGTCTGAGGTCTTCCAGATGTATCAGCCTGTGGTTTCTGTCATCCCCGGGTACTGGCTAAAAGTGCCAGCTGGGGATCATGGGTGTTGTCGTCCAACAGGAGTGTCAGTGTGGTGCTCTGGCTAGAGTGTCAAATGAAGATCCCAAAGACCTGAGTTCAAATCCCCGCTTGGCCACGGGAGCCCACCAGCAGATGGCACTGTTAAAACAATTCTTAAAGTATTTCACATCCTTTGAAAACCTCCTTAGGGACCCCGTACGTTGGGAGAGACTGAGGGTCATCACAACGCTCAAACCCATCTGGAGGGGTGTGCCAGATTTTGACCCCTTATCCCCCATTCTCTTGGGCCTGCTCTTGACAGGGGCGCGCGTCTCTCTCTCTCTTCCTCTTCTGTTCCCAGAACGGTGGATCTGCTCGACTGGAACAGTTTGATCGACCCCCGAACTGAAATCTCAAAACTCCTGCTCGTCCCGAACCTGAAGGCAAGCCGCCTGGACTAGTGGGGGGGGGGGAGATGATGGGTTGGGGGGGGGGGGGTTTGGGGTCATTCTCCCCTTCTGCTTTGCATAGGAAGCTTCTTGAGGGTAGGGGGTGGTTTCGGGGGAAGTGTTGGCAAGTCATGGGGAGCAGACAACTTCAGCCTGGGTGCGATGGAAACTGTGACTCAGCACGTGGTGGAGTCATTCGGCTGCACTGCAATCGGCCCTTTCCAGCTGAGAGGCAGGCAAGCAGGGCAGGGTGGAGGAGCTGTTATCACCTCCTGCTCTCCTCCAGCCGACACGGTGGCCGGGCTGTCATTGGCGCATGCGTCCAGCTGGCTTTTTCCCAGCAAGGCTGGAGCGATCACTCAGCACTGCAAAGACACTTGACTGGCAACATCTTGTCGGTCCATGCTTGAGAGCCCGCATGGTGTCAGCTGATGGAGTGTTGGACAAAGTCTCGGGAGACCTGGGTTCAAATCCCTGCTCAGCCAGGGACCTCACTAGAGGGTGGTACTGGTGATGATGACGATGTGCTGTCAAGTCCATTCTGGCTTAGGACGCCCCTTTCTGGGATTCTCCAGGCAGAGAGTACTCAAAGGTGCTTTACCCTTTCCTGCCTCTAGGGGGTGCCCTGGGGCTGTGCAGCTGGCCCAAGGCCACCCAGGCTGGCTCTTCTCCCAGGAGGTATGGGGCGGGACCTAAACCTCTCAGCTGTCCAGCCAGCGCTTCCTAGGCATGGCGTCCTCAGACGTGATTCACCATTCCCTCCTTCAGGAGGTGCCCCGGGACTGTGCAGCTGGCCCAAGGCTACACAGGCTGCTTCTTTTCCCAGGAAGCCCAGTGAGGAATTCAACTCCCAACCCTGTGTTTTTAGAGCCAGAAAACTAAACCACTGAGTCACCCAGCCCACTGGCACTGGTGAAACCACCTCTTAAATATTTGAATGTGCCTTGGAAAATCTGCTAGGGTTGCCATAGCTCTCAACCTGAGAGCACATCACGCTTGGCGCAGTCTCTACGGGGAAGGACTGTAACCACTCTGCATGCTGGGACAGCTTCTAGACTGTGCCATGGTTGTGTGATGCGTTTCCGGGGGGTGGGGAATTGGCAATGCAGGCTTTCAAGCCCCTCCAGAGTTTCCCCAAAGCCACCAAAACCTGGCTCCTAAATGCAGGCCCTTCAGGCAGGGGGCAGGATTTGCCCTGCATCCTGCCAGCCTTCCCTCACCCCAGGCTGTTTTAGTCCTTAAGACTAGGGTGCTAACAGGAACGGTCAAGGATGGCCTTCTGTCGTCCAGATAACAAAAGAAGTTATCCTCAAAGTTTGAGAAATGTTAGTTTTCCAGTTTCTGGAGCTGTAAGCCAAAGCCACCAGGAACGTGTCATCCTTCGCATTGGCCCAACCTTAAGAAACCAGCTCTCAGAGGCTGTCTAACCTCCACTGATTCCCCAAGTGGACTTATAGGTAGGGATGGCCCAGGTGCTGTGCTCAGGTGGGGGGGCTGCGATTCCATCCCGCCCACTGCTGGTTCCCCGGAGGAATGATTGAATGACGGCCATGTCTCCTCTCTTGTCAGACGGGACAGCTGGAGCCCCTGCTTTCTCACTTCACCGAGGAGGAAGAGAGGCAAATGAAACGCATGCTTCAACGCTTAGATGTGCTCGCCAAGGTGAGGATTTGGAGACCGTGGTCTCCCCTTTTCTTTGGACAGATAGGCCACTGGGCATGGGGTAGCTGGGTGGGGCCATAAAGTGGGGGGAGGCCAGAGCCCACCGTAGTTAGAAAAGAAACTTGGCCATGCGGTCTGTAAATGGATCTGAAAAGTAGAGTTGAGGGATATCACATTAGGCATTCTTGGGTGAGAGGAGGGAGCCAGCAAGGAAAAAAAAAGCAGGCTTTTGGGTTCTTCAGAATGCTTCATCACATTGGGGGTTGCAAGAAATTGGGAAGCCTGGAAGTTGGAATAGAGATGAAGCTGCTTAAGTAATACAGTGGTGCCTCGCTTAGCGATCGCTCCTTTGAGCGATGAATTCGCATAGCGTTCGCTCAGCGATGGCCCCTATGGCGTTTTTTCGCTGTGCGACGATCGCTAAGCGATTCACTTAGCGATTTTCACACAACGAAGCGGGGGAGAACAGCTGATCGGCGGTTCCAAAATGGCCGCCGCAACTTTTCCCAAAATGGCCGCCCCTATGGAGAAGCTTCGCTCAACGGTAAGTTTAGGGCCCATTGGAACGCATTAAACCAAGTTTAATGCGTTTTAATGGGTTTTTTTGTTCCGTTGAGCGATGTTTCTCATAGCGATGGCGAGGCACCACTGTATTAAAAAATTATAACAATAGAACCCCCATATCTCTGGGGGGGGATTGGTTCCAAGCGCCTCCACGGACACTGAAATCCATTGATAATAACAAATGGCATTTTAAAAAAAAGAAAACATCCAGAAATATATATTTTTACCATGCACTGCCAGAACTGGCCACTAGAGACAGCCAGAGACAGCATGTATTCTTCAACAAGAATTCAGATCATGGTCTCTGGCTCTGTCTAGTGGCTTGTTCTGGTAATACATGCTAAAATAATTTTTCTTGATTTTTTTCTTTAAAAATTTTTCTTTTTATAATTTTCAGACCGTGGATGAGTTAGACTGCAGATACTGATTCTACTGTAGTTTGAAAAATCAGTTTGATTTTGCTTGGTTTCATGGGAATAACTTTCTCCAGCATATTCTTCAGCGGCTCCATGCTCTCCGGTGGCTTCGCTCCCTGGTCGCTGAGCTGGCCGTGAGCAAACAGGTCCCCCCCCTCCGTGACCACCAATCTCCCATCTTCTTGCTTTTAGAAAGCTGTGGCGACTGGGGTGAGGCTCATGGTGGACGCTGAGCAGTCTTATTTCCAGCCCGCAACCAGTCGCCTCGCCCTGGAGATGCAGCGCAAGTTCAACCAGGAGAAGCCGTCCATCTTCAACACCTACCAGTGCTACCTGAAGGTGAGGAGAGAGGCCGGAGGCCAGTCACAAGGGCGGTGGCGTAGGATGCTTTCTTTGCTGTCGGTGGTTCTGTTTTTTTCGGAAATGGCTGGCTTGGCACTGACGCTGGCCAGTCTCTTTCTGGACAGCGGTCCTCCAGCCTGGCCCTGAAAACAGGCTGACAGGAGCATGCCAGGGCAGATATAAAATGGAGATATGGTCTCCTTATCTTTTTTTTTTCCTTTTGGTTTAAAAATGTTTCAAAGGTCTAGAGCTTTAGCCAAACACAGCCTTCTTGAGCGCCGATGGAGGGCGGTCCCTTTGGGTGCTCATGGTCCAGCCTGCGATGCTTCGTCCATCCCTGATCCCAGAATTTAATTCCGGGCTTCAGGCGCTCCCCTTCCCCTCTTTCTCCCTTGGGACTTGAGGCATCCTCCATTCCATTTTCCCTCACCTGCAGGACGCCTACGATAACGTGACCGTGGATGTGGAGCTGTCGCGCCGGGAAGGGTGGTGCTTTGGAGCTAAGCTTGTCCGAGGGGCCTACATGGAGCAGGAGCGGAAACGGGCCGCTGCCGTTGGCTACGAGGACCCCATCCACCCGACGTATGAGGAGACCAACGCTATGTACCACAGGTAGGGGAGAAAGGGGCCTCATGTTTGTGGGGGGGGGGAGAGGTTTCTCAGAGGGGAAGGGCAGTTGGGTTGCATTTCCGACCCTCCTCTGACCTTCCTCTTTAGGTGCCTGGACTACGTCTTGGAAGAGATCCGTAAGGGCAGTTGGGTTGCGTTTCTGACCTCCTTCCTCTTTAGGTGCCTGGACTACGTCTTGGAAGAGATCCGTCATAGCCGCAGGGCTAACGTGATGGTGGCCACCCACAACAAAGAGACGGTCCAGTTCACACTCCGCAGGTACTGGGCACAGCCCAAGCGTTTGAAGGGGGGATCTCTGGATGGGGTGGGGGCAGGCACGAGGCTGGTGCGCCCTCCAGCAACCCTGGTCCCCTCTCCACGTTTTCGTGTATGAACTCGGAAAGCTCCCCTTACAATCCTCTGCAACGTACCGGGCTTCTCATGTTTCTAGTCCTCCTTGAGTGGGCAGAGATTTAGAAGCCAGACTCTTTGAACCTTAGACCACCCAGGAGGAACAAAAACAGTGAGGGCCTCCCCCTACACTCCTGCCCCCCACCCCACATCATGCCTAGAAGATGCACATGGAGGGGAGATATGGGGAGCAGCTGTCTCTGGCCCTCTAGCGGTGCTCACCTCTGGCATAGAGGTTCACTGGAGGGGGGAACTCACTTTGGAAATGCCAGCAGGGAGAAACTGACCTGTTTATCCTTCTTCCATTCCTGTAGGATGGCAGAACTGGGCCTCCACCCCTCGGAAAACCAAATCTCCTTTGGACAGCTCCTGGGCATGTGTGACCACATCACCTTCCCCCTTGGTAAGTCACTGGGAATACCTGGGCGATTCATTGGTCCCCACCCCCTTTGGAATATGTGCCCTCTGGAGTTCTCTATCAGCGTCCTCGTAAACAGTGGAAGGTGACTGTGGCCTATTTTTTTCTGCTTTGTCATTACACTCTCCGTATGTATACGGTCGGACCCCTTATCCACAGATTCACTTATCCGCTGCCTGAAAATATTAAATTAAAAACCTCAGAAGGAGCCAGAGACCATGTTATGTATAGTGCTTGCTATGGCTCCATTTTTCAGCATCTGCAGGTGGGCTTGAAACCCATCCTTTGTGGGTATGGCAGTCCTACTATATAGGGAAGGCAGAAAATAAGGAGATGTAAATTTGCAACAAAATACAGCGCATGAAATGCAAATTACAGTGGAAATCCAAACAAGTCATACTAAATTGTTCTGAAGCAGAATCAACCTCAACAGAATAGCGTAATCATGTCTGTGTTTTTGCTTCCCCTGTGTCATAAATACTTTTTCCTCCCAAGTCCATGCAGAACTTAGTTAGAAAAATTGGCAAGCTGAACTGTCATTAACATTCCACTCCGCAGCCAGATGCCTAAACTACTGATTGTAAGTAAAAGCAAAATAGGAATAAAAAATTTAAAAAGACAAAAACATGGTGGCATCTTTTCTTTTTTTTAATGTGAGCTTTCGTGAAGAAGTCCACTTCATCAGATATAAGAGAAAGAGATTTAACATGGCAGATATTTATACATGTCATCAAAATATCACAGTTGAACAATCTACTGACTTTCTTACCAACCAACCACGATTTCTGTATATAGATAATCTATATTTTGATGCCATGTATAAATGTCTCCCTTGTTAAATATCTTCCTCTTCTGTCACATGAAGTGGACTTGTCCATGAAAGCTCATATTTAAAAAAAAATACATAAAAGTTACTCTTTAAAGTGGTACCACATTTTGTCTTTTTTTCACTTTTTATTTCTATTTTGCTTTTATCTGTCATTCTTCCATAGACAACCGCGGCTACACCTTCTGCAACTATTTACTCCTGAGCTATCCAGCAGTTAAACAACCTTAGATCTGCAGGGCAAGAAGGGACCCTGTAGATCATCAAGTCCAGCCCTGTTCAGGATGCCCGGTGGGCAGCTGAACTCCCAAACTGCAGCCAGATGCCTAAACCACTGAACTTGAAACGCGTTTTTCCTTTTTCCTCTCCAGGACAAGCCGGCTTCCCCGTATACAAGTATGTTCCCTATGGACCTGTGGAGGACGTCCTTCCTTACCTCGTCAGGAGAGCCCAGGAGAACCGGACTGTCATGAGGAGAACCAAGGAGGAACAAGATCTTCTCTGGATCGAGCTGAAGAATCGCCTGTTCTGTGGCTCCTTGTTCCCGAACCCAAGCCTGCCGTAGTAGTCCTCCTGCGTCCCTGGCTTTTTCACAATGAAAAGCTGGAGCCGTGTCGGATCGGCACATCTGAGAGCAGTGACCATGCCTTCCTGTAGCTTACGTAGAGGTCAGCCCCTGCCCAGACCTCTGCCCGTGGCCTCGGGACTTTGACAAGGTCTTGGTCCTTCGCTTACCGGGTGGTGAGCAGGCAGGAGTTGCCAAGTTCTGTTCCCTCTTCCCCCTGGTCCTGTTGCCCTCCTGCTGTTGGGGGGGGTATCATCACTCCTTGCACTTAACCACTGTCTGTTCGAAAGCAACGCACCTCGAGGCTGGTATAGAGTTGTCAGCATTTAGGATGGAGAAAGCCACCGCAAATAAAGATGATAGAACAAAGCGGTCTTCACATCTGTTGCGCGTCCTAGGATCGATGCATATATGCTGGTTGTTCAGCAAGATAGGGAAATGCCGGAGAATGCTCACTGCTTCCCCCTTGTGGCCAATTATGACATTGCACCTTGGAGCACACAGGATGAGACCAAAATGATACTACTTTTCCGATTTTGGAATAGATCAGAGGCTGGCTGGCTGGGTAGCTCAGGGTTTCAGGTCTCTGGCTGCAGAGCCAGAGGTTGGGAGTTTGATTCCCCCACTATGCAAGTAGTTCCAACCTGTATGGCTTTGGGAAAGCTGCACAGTCCCCAGGTATCCCCCAGAAAAAAAGGGAATGGCCAAACACTTCTGAGTATTCTCTACCTGGAAAACCCCAAAATGGGTCACCATAATTCAGAATTGACTTGAGAGCACTTGATTATTATGAGAATGGCATAAACAGTGAAAAACAATCCTTTTAGAGTGCATCAGAAATGCTTATTATTATAAGAGAATGGCATAAACAGTGGAAAAAATCCTTTTAGAGTGCATCAGAAATGCTTTTTCCCCTCTTTTTAAAAAATAATAAAACAAATCAGAAATGGATTAATCCATTCATAGCTAGACAGAAAATAGCATACACTGGTGTCTATTGTAGTTCAAGTTTTGACTTAAATGCCACCCCATACTGCTAAATCAATCTCTGGGTGGTTTACAATTCAACTGCAGTTTACCCGCTGTGCCAGAGCTTCTTGATTAAATGCCAGAGCCATAAAAAGGATTAGAAATCTCTCTCCAACATTTCAAAACCCAGGGCGTTGGTGGCTGAAAAGGTGGTTTCTTTATCTGCAAACTCTGTAAAAGGCAGCCCGTCTTGACGAATTTGTCTCTTGACTCTTGGCCCTTGAGATGGTCTCATTGTGTGAGTCAATTTTTCTGGAAGTGCCATGGACCATTTTTCCAGGGTCAAGAAACCCCCAGTTCGGCCGTGGCTCACAGGGATGCGATTGGGTCCTTGCAAATAGCTGAAAAAGAAAGAAAAAGTCCCCTTTTTGTGCATTTTTGTCCTGTGATGTTGCTTATAATTTCAAGGACAGTGTTCCCAAATCTGTAGGCTTCCGGGCATTTAAGCCACAAATGATGAAAAAAAATGGATTTTATCCATTGCTAATCACTGTAACTCTTTGATCTTCTTGAGTAGTCTATTGACTAGATGGGCGGTATATAAATTCAATAAATAATAAATAAATAATAAATAAATAAATTCAGTACCCTGCCAGTTGTATTTATCTATCTAGTGTAGACAATTACAGCAATTTATAAATCGGTTGGTTTCTGGCATTTTCTTTTTCAATTTTTATGTTTTTAAGGCCTCTTAAGACAGGTCTCATATGCCCAAGAAGAGCAACTGGGCCATTTCATGCTGGGTGTTTTCTCTATTAAACTATTTTTGTTAAATTTAAACGGTGATCACTCACAGCCAAGCGACCTTTTCTAGCATGATCAGATACGATCCTTTGTCTTAAGGATCAAACGTCTTTGAAAAGCCCAGCTCCCCGCTAGAGGGCAGAAGAGGTCAAGTTCTTTTAAATAGCTCTGTAACTCCCTGGGGGGGCGCAAGTACCAGACACACACATTGGGTGGAAGTAGAAAATGAATACGGAGTTGCTCGATCCGTCTTGAGAGCAATGATATCATTCTAGGGACAATGATTCTGGAGGAAGGGCCTACATGAACAGCCTGCAAGCAGGCCGAGCTGCCTCGACAGGGTAACCTAACATGATCCAAAAAGTCATCAAATGTTACGTTCTGTACTGTCAAGTCGCCTCCAACTCAAGATGACCCTATGGATCAGCAGCCTATATAATGCCCTGTCTTAACAGCTATAATCAGCTCTTGCAAACTCAAGTCTGGGGCTTCCGTTTTCAAGTCAGTCCATCTCATATTTGATCATCCTCTTTTCTTTCAAGTCACTCCATCTCATATTTGATCATCCTCTTTTCCTGCTTGCTTCCACCTTTCCCAACATTATTGGTCTTTTCCAGAGAATCCTGCCTTCTCACATTGTGCCCAAAGTAGGACAACTTCAGTTTCAACCTTTTTGGCCCCCAGAGGACCGTTCAGGCTTGAGTTGATCCAGAAGCCAGTTGTTCATCTTTCTGGCCATCCAGGGCATCCGCAAAACTTTCCTCCAGCACCAGATGTCAAACAGATCAATTTTTTTCCCAGACAGGTTTCTTTACTGGTCCAGCTTTTACAACCATCCATGCTGGATGGAAATGCAAAAGAGTGGATGGTCTCCAGTGTCTTGTTTGCCTTAAACAACAAGCAGCCCATATTCAGGCACCAGAGTGCGAAACAGTTTCCACTGGGCTTCGGCAAGACCCCAGATCTTTCTGCATCCCAACAAATGCTTCTGGTTTGTCTCTACTTTCCTTTGACTTCAGCACAACGTTTAAGTGTCGATTCATGGATCTCACGCTGTCGATTTCTTGGTAACCTTTGTTGCTGGCTGCATCTGATATTTCCTTAACGTGCAACGCTTGGCATGGGTGTCAACGCAGACAGACCACTCCGAAATGGGTGGGTGAGTGTGCCACCCTCTTGAATCGATGGGGCTGCTGTTTCCAGTGAGGGTGGCAACAATCTGAAATTCCAGAGCGTCAAGAGTGTGATGTCACACACTGGAATTGTGAAGTTTTGGGGGTTTAGGTGACAAATTCCAAAATTCTAGGAGGGGCTGTCCAAAAACCGCCTAGAATAGACATGCAACACAAACAGGGCACCACACAACCCTCGGTGTTCGAAGCACCTGCGAGGTGCCTTTTCATGCTTACGGAAAAGTCCTACAAAGTTTCTTTGGTCTCTCAAAGCCTCGATGTTGTTCTGAGCCGCCTTTTCTAAAACGGTCCCAGATTACAAAAGGTATGTGGATCTGGGGGTGGGGGGGTACCTTAAAACCCTACAATTAAATGCAAAGATAGACACAAGTATGCAATGCATCACATAGGATGCATCCTTTCTGCACACTGCTACTGCAGTTGCATGATCTAAATTTAAAGGGACTCGTGTCTTGTTCATGCTCCCAGGGAAACAGAAATTCCTTCCCAGTTCTCTTGTTCAGGGTGAAATTTTCCAAGCACACCCTCTTCCTAAAGATTTCTCAACTTATTTGATCTAAATCAGATAGTCTAACTGATTTAGACACGGGCAGAGGTTGGAAGCTTAACTTCGGTTACAAATCCCAACATGTCCAGTAGGGGATTCTGGGAATGGTAGTCCATGAAAGTTTTTGTTGATTTGTTTTTGTGTTGTTGTTTTTTTTGCAACAACAACAAAAACTGGGAAAAGGCTGCTTTTGCAAATTCACCAAGCCCCCTCTCGCATTTGCCTTGACGTTTTGGGCTGCTTTTGAAGCATTTTTGACCAGAGGCAGACTGGAGAAAATNCCGGGGGGGGGGGGAAATATCCAGATTTCGTCTGTTCAGTGCATGAAACGCCGTGCAAGGAGAATTTGCAGAAGCCTGTTGGAACATATGCACCATCCGGTCTGTCTGCAGAAGGCACAGGGGTCCCTGGGGGTCCCAGCAGGCTCTCCTTCCAGATGACAAGGTGTTTGCAGGGGGGGCAGGAATCCCAGTCCCTGAGCAACTTGTTTATTCAACCAGTGGCTTCTCTGTCTCACCAAGTTTCCTAGGCCAGAAGGCAGAGAATTTGCAGAAGCCTGTTGGAACATATGCACCATCCGGTCTGTCTGCAGAAGGCACAGGGGTCCCTGGGGGTCCCAGCAGGCTCTCCTTCCAGATGACAAGGTGTTTGCAGGGGGGGCAGGAATCCCAGTCCCTGAGCAACTTGTTTATTCAACCAGTGGCTTCTCTGTCTCACCAAGTTTCCTAGGCCAGAAGGCAAAAGCCGGAACAAGGCACTGGGAGTCAGGAGGAAATGGGCGGGAAGGGAGTTTTTCCTCTTTCACAAGAGAGTGAGGTTTGGCCAAGGCTCGGGGGTGGGGCCATGGCACTCTGCCCATGCTTCAAAGTGTGGTCGTCTTATCCGAGTCCTTAATGTTTCTTTTTTCTTTTTTTCTTAAATGACAACATTATCATAAAATAAATAATACAAATTGACTGTTTTCCCCACCACCCTGGTTGGGACCTCTTGCAGTCATCCTCTTCTTCCTCTATCTTTATTCTTCCTTGATTGTCCTCTTCTCCGGAACTGCATCAATTCTTGATTTGGAGCTTCCCCTTTTATTAATTTGTTTATTTATTTATTTATCTATTTAATTTATATCCCACCCATCTGGTCTGGTCGACCACTCTTTTCTTTTGGTTAGCACATATTCAAGAAATCAGCCCCATAGATCAGAGCAACGTTCCATGTATTTCATTATGCTATTCTTCCATTCAAAATTCAGACTTTTATTTCCAGTTCCTAGCTATTATTAATCTGGCTGCCGTTGATAAATTAGTAGCCAATTCTTTAGTCATCTTAACATATTCCACATTCTCACATATGGATAACAGAGCTATCTCAGGATTAAATTCTATATTTTCTTCTATGAGACCTTGATGTTTCTAAGCTCCTCCGCTAAGCTCCTTGACCGGCCTGGCTGCAGGAGCGATGTGAGAGGGTGCTTCCTCCGGATGCAGGGAATGTGGGAAAACTTGCTTTGGGGGCCACGAGTTTCCCCCAACATTTTGGAAGGGGTATTTTTTGGGGACTCTTAACTTCCACGGCTCTCTGAGGGGGTTCTGAGAGTTTTGTAATCCGAAAGATATATTTTCAAGCTTAAAATGAGACAGTGTTGAGGGCAAGGGAATGAGATGTCCCTGACCTTTGAGAGAAATCAGGAAAAGAATTGGGCTGTAATTCCAGAGCTGGCCGCACACATGCTGCAGTTTTTGCACACTGACTTCAGTAGGCTTTGTGTATGGAGGACCTTTCTGGACTGGGGTGACTGTCAATCTATCCAGCACTGACCAATCCTTCTCTCCTGCCTGTGAATTCAATGGGAGACCCGCCTCTCTGCTTAGTGTTCCCTTTCCCTCTCTTAAGTCTGTTGCAAGAAGTGAGTCTGTTTGTTGTAAGCAGTCGTGTTGGTCAGTCTGTTGACTGATCTGTTCAACTGTAGGTAATGAAACCCTTTATTCTTTCTACTGTTAATATTTCAGAGTGAGATACTGAGAATGTTAAGTGCCAATTGATGAGAAAAGGGGTGGACTACTCTGAGGAAATGGATGTTACTCTGTTCTGTGAATCCCTGGAATTCTGCTATGCAGTTAAAGGAATCTGACCAGAAATTCAAAACTCTGCAACAAAATATACTTTAGGGTTATTGAAAATGAAAGAGTGTTTGCTTCTAAGTAATACACAAGGCTGGGGTGTCCGTGTGTTCGGTTCCAGGAGAGCTTAGAAATCTGGGGTGAAGAATCTCATCGATTTCCAAGACATTTGACTTCTGTGTGGTTTTGCCCACGTTGATATGCTCCAAAATATCCCACCCACCCCCAGTGCTCAGGGGAACCATAGTCCATGAAGGGATGCCAAGGAAGATACTGAAGTAGTGAGAGATACCTCGGTATACTTTTGGTTCAGCCATCAATCCGAATCTTATATGCATGGAAATCAAAAGAAGACTCGGGAGGGCAGCAATGAAAGGATTAGAAAAGATCATCAAGGATCTGTAAGGATCTGTCCCCACATTCTTGTCTTTCTTATCATGATGTACAGGTGTGAGAGCAGGACAGGAAAGAAAGCTGACGGGTGATTTGTTTGACATATGGTGCTGGAGGAGAGCTTTGCAGATAACCCCGGACTGCCAGAGAGACGAACAAGGGGGTCCTCGATCAAATCAAGCCTGAACTCTCTCTGGAGGCCAAAATGTTGAAGCCGAGGCTGTCCTGCTTCAGGCACATCCCGAGAAGGCAGGATTCTTTGGAAGGCTGGGAGAGGTGGAAGGCGGCAGGAAAAGAGGAAGGTGAAATATGAGATGGATTGGCCCCCCAAAAGGAAGCCACAGGGTTGAGTTTGTAAGAGCCGCTCAGGGTGGCTGAGGACCAGACATTTTGGAGGTCATTCCCTCCAAGGGCTGGGTTTAGTTTGTAAGAGCCGCTCAGGGTGGCCGAGGACCGGACATTTTGGAGGTCATTCCCTCCAAGGGCCACCATCCGTGAGAACCCTCTTGATGGCAGGGTGAGAACAACCAACCCAGGTCTCCTTCCAGGTAAAGGTGGGGGGGGCGTTCACTGTTCCTTCTAAACGGCACCATTTGGAGGGTCAGCCTCTTATTTCCATCCAGAAAAAAAGGGTGTGAGGGGAGGCAGCCTGGAGAATGAACTAGTAGGATGTAAAGCCAGTTGAGCTCAAGAAGGGCCAGCTTCCGTGGGTTGGCCTGTCCAGAGGCTGGGACTTTTGCTCCCCTCCAGGGGCTTCCTTTAGGGACGGCCTTTCTCCGTTTCATGGAACCACAGGCCTGGGCAGCCAGAAGGGGCTCCGAGGGTCATCCATCCCAACCCTCCGGCCAAGAGTGACAGACTGTCCTGGGTCCATCGTCCTAGGGAAGGAGGCCAGACTCCGTCTGAAAAAGAACCCCTTCCTCCCCCCCAAAAAAAAAAGCCAGGAGGAGGAGGAGGATTGGGACCCTGAACGCTGCCCATGATGATGGAGAGCAAGTTCAGGAGAATCCCGGCGCCCACCTCAAAAGATTACATGGACTAAGACGGTTGATGGGCGAGAAAGCGTCGCCCCATAAAGCAAGGCAGGTTTTTTTTTTTTCCTGGAAACCGGAGTCCTCCTTAGCGCTTTTGGGTGGGGAAGAACTTCTGCGTGCATTTTATTTTTATTTTATTAGGGTGACGGATCCCCCCTCTTTTTTGGCGGAGGAGGAGGAGGGGAAAGCTCCCCACTCCCTCCCCCTCCGCAGCAGAAGCCGCCGCCGCTGCTTCTTAGCGCTCGCTCAGCATCCTCTCTCCCGCCCGTCCCTTCGGTGGTTCCCCTTCCCCGGAGCGGGACCGGCCCGGGGCTGGCCAACGAGGCGGCGGCCTCGGTCTGGCTGTCCCTCTTTGCCGCCCGGCCGGGGCTGAGCCGAGACGAGGCGAGGCGAGGCGGGCGGAGGAGGGGAACCAATGCGGCATTTCCTGGCTGGCCGGCCGCCCCTCCTGCGGCCGCCGCGAGGGGCGATGCATCAGTCAGCAACTATCTTCTGCTCTGGCTCGGGATGTTTCTGTTGAAGGTGGAAGAGAGTATGTGGGTCTGTTCAGACTGGCCATTTTGGGTGTGGGGTGGACTGGACTTAAAAAGAGTCTGTTGAGATTTGGGGTATGAGTGATGTGCCATTTGGCATGCTCCTCCTGCTTGAACAGCAAATAACCCCTTGTAGCCCAATCAGCTGCCAATTAAACATTTCCATGATCATCTGCAGAGGGTCAGGGAAAGTGAGAGTCGGCTCCTCTGGCTGCTCCTGCTGGCGCTCCAGCTCGGCCCCGGGAGAGCCCAGGATCTCAACCCTCGAGGGAGGAACGTCTGCGCCGCGCCCGGGTAAGAGCGAGCCGGTCCAGGCAGGGCGCACGGACGGCGCCTCGGAGCGCGCCGCAGCCCTGGGTCCTGCGCCTTGGGGTGGGGGGGAAGGGGTTGGCATTCCCCCCCCCACTCCAGTACCCACACACCCGCCCGGACGGGTCCCTGCCTTGAACCCCTCCCGCTTTGAAGCCCTGCGAAAACTCTGCGGCTTCCTCCGCGGGCCCTTGGCGCGCGCTTTGGAGATGCGCTCTCGGGGGTCCCTCCGTGCTCCCCCTCCGGGAGGGATGCCCAGAAGGAGCCAGGGGCCGCCTCCTTGTCCCAACGGGTCCCATCCTGCTCGCTTCGGATCAAGGCTGGGGTGAGATGGGCAAGAGGGACGAAGGCGAGCGGACTGAAGCTCAGCCCCGCATCTCCAGAACAAGATCTCTGGAAAGTTTTCTCCTTTTTTTCGGGGACCCCCTTCCCCCTGCCACCGCCCCAGGAGGGTCGCCGAGGTGGCCCCTGGGCTCCTCCTGACACTTCCTGGCGACATTTAGAAGGGCAGGGGAAAGAGAGACCCGTTGCTCCCCTCTTCTGTTTTACTCTCCCGGGTGTCTGCCCGGCGGGAGGAAGGGGCGCACCCGGCGTTTATGTATGACTTTAACGCGCACATTCCGATGCACGGGACTGGCGTGACCCAGCGGCGGGTGTGAGTTGTGCTCCTATGGTTCCCTTTATATCTTGGCCACCCCTTTGGAAAGAAAAGCCCCCGCAGCTCCCCCGGCCCCCCGCCCCCTTTGTTTGAGCTGCCCCCTTCTGCTGGACAGGGCCACGTCTTTCTCGATGGAGAGGGTCTGCAGGGCTCGGTGCCCCCTCCCCTGGGCTCCCTCCCCTCTGTGCCCGGAGACCTCCCAGGCTGGAGCCCTCTTTCCTCTGCCAGGGGGTTACCCCTTGAGAACTCGTCCGGAGCTCCCCCCCCCTTCTTTAGCTGCTCTCCCATCCCAATTGGCTTCAAGGCTGGGGAGTGGAGGGGGGGTAGTGGATTCACTTGGAGGGGGGAGCGCATGGGGAAACCCTGCAGTAACCATGAGGAGGCAGCGACTCTTCCTTGTAACTTTTCTTGAAACCCTGCATTTAAAAGCTTGGGGAGGGGGGGAGGGGCCGGCAGGAGTAAGCCGTGGATGCCTCTGGCTTCCTCTCTCTCTCTTTCTTTCTTCAGCAAAAACCACTTTTAGAGCCTTTAACCCCATCCTCGACTTAACCATTTCAAGATGCAGGCTTCCTGCCCTCACCGCCTTCCTAACAGCCGCCTTGTGCTGAGGATCGCAACTTTCTCTGCGGCCATGCGGGCTGTAAAGTGTGCTGTGATTTTTCGAGGGCCCCCCCCCCCTTCCTTTCTCGCCTGGGGTTCTTTCCCCCCCCCATTTTTTTTCCACGAGGTTCAAAGAAGAACCCAAGGCCCCCCCTCCGAACACCCTCCCTCCTCCTTCCAAATGTAACTTAAAACCCAATGGAAAGAGACGATACATCTGTTTTTGATTTAAGGCCTTGCAAACGAGAGAGCTCTACTAGAGGAGAGGGTTTTTTGCCGCCGCTGCTGCTGAGGAATTTCTGGATGAGGCCTCTTCCCCCCCCCCCCCCAAGTGCTCTGGACCATGTTTTTCCTACCGAGACAGAATCTGTTTTGTGATGGAGAAAATGTATAAATGGTTTTTTGGGGTTGGGGAAAAACAGTGGAATGCGGTTTAGGATTTTCGAGGCCAGCAGCGCCAAAGCCTCTTTGGAGATAACTCGCTCATTTGGTGTCACCATCTAGCCAAGAGCTTCACTTTGGGCTTAAATCCACTCAGATTCATGGTGGCTTAAAGAATCGGGCCAGGAGGAAAAAAAACACCTCTTCAAACATCCAAAATGTGCAACTTGTTGCAGAATGCTGGATTTTTTTGGTTAAACTCCTCTAGCTGCAACAGCAGAAGAACAGGGATTTACAGAGCAGAATAGCTTCAATCCCTCAGGGTGGACTGCTCCTTTTTTTCTCATCAACTGGCACAGTCTCAATAACTCACCCTGGTATATTTGTAAGAGAAAGTAGAAAAGGGTTCACTACTTACAGATCAGCAGATCAAACAGCAAACTGAGAAACATGACTGCTGTCAGCAAACAGACACCAACAATCTCAGTGCTTCCAACAGACTAAAGAGAGAACGTTAAGCAGAGAAGCAGGGCTCTGAATTCAGAAGCAAGAGGGAATTATTGGTTAGTGCTGGATAAAGTGACAGTCAGCCCACCTCAGAAAAGGTGCCCCCCAGCCAAATCTACTAAAGGCTGCATGCAACCTACTAAAGGCAGCATGCATGTTGCAAAAACTCCTGCACAACTCACATACCCCAGGTTGTGAGTGATGGCAGTAGGAAACCTAAGATCAACTCATATCAATCGAAATAAGATCCAAAGTGGATTTTGATCTATGAAAACTCATGCCAAAATCAGTCGGTTTTCAAAAGGCCACAATATTTTGCTTCTTCCCTCTTGTTTTTTTTCTCTTTTCTTTTTTCCAACATGCTGGCATCTCATGGTAGAACCTCTGTAGGATAGCCTGTGGGAGCAACATAACTCTTCTCTTCAGAACACCAACCACGACCATTCCTGGTGGATCAAAATTGACAAACAAGACTGTTTTCACCAAACAGGAAGCCTGGTGGGGATGACTTTTTCTGTGGAAAGACTACAGGATGTCAGTTTCAGAACCCAAAGGGGTCTCCTGGGCTGGATGTTCTGGGTGTCCCAATAACTGAAGGTTCTAGGTGTCCCAATAACAGTAGAGCTCATTAAACCCAGAGGTTGTCCAGCCACCCTTGACAAGTTGTACTTACTGCATCTATGTCATTCCTGGGGGTGATCAGATATAATAAGAGTTAAACTCTGAGGCCTCATTAAGTGTTTATTTGTAAACATGGAGCAAAGGTGCTTCTTCTCTATTTGTTTCCTGTTTCAAGAGGCTGCCTTTGGCTTGTTGAGCCTTAGAATGGCGTAGGTCCCGATTACGTACGGACTGTTTCCTTGTATCCAAGGGGTCAGCCAAGCTGAGCCATTGCAAGGAAATCAACAAAGGCTTGAAACGGAAAATCCAGGATTGGGCAGAACCTTTATCACCTTGCTCATGAGTTACAAAGAAGGCATGTGTTTGAGTTGTCCAGGAGTCTTCAAAATTAAACCCAGCCCTGGGAGGAAAGACTGAAAGAACTGGCGTTGTCCAGGAGTCTTCAAAGGGAAACCGAGCCCTAGGAGGAAAGACTGAAAGAACTGGGGATGTTTAGCCTTGAGGAAAGAAGACTGAGGGGTGATAGGATAGCACTCTTCAAAGACTTAAAAGGCTCTCATAAAGAGGAGAGACAGGATCTGTTCTCCATCATCCCAGAGTGCAGGACACACAACAATGGGCTCAAGCTGCAGGAAGCCAGATTTCAGTTGAATATCAAGAAAGCCTTCTTAACTGTTAGAGCAGTACGACAACGGAACCCATGACTTTGGAAGGTGGTGAGCGTTCCAACGCTGGAGGCCTTCAAGAAAATTTGGACCACCACCTGGCAGATATCCTTTGATTTGCTTCCTGCACTGAGGAGGTGGTTGGATTTGATGGCCTTCTAGGCTCCTTCCAACTCCATTATTCTAGGATTCTCTGAAAACTCGGTCCTATTTGTCCAAAATGATTGCTTTCCCCTTAGGTTTTAGGCCATCTTTGCCCACGAAGACTTCTAGACAACTCAAAACCTCATCTTGGCTGTAACTTTTTAACGGTCCAGTAAAGGCCTTCCTTAACCTTAGATTTTCTTGGGACGTATGGATGGATTTTAAGCAAAATAAAACTGATGTTTCACTAAGATCCCACACCCCTGTTTGCCGTTTCCCCTTCCACTGCCTTGGAAAAGTGACACATTTCTGATTTCTATCTGGGCCATTTCTGTGGCTCCCACCTTGCTTTGGAACTTCGTAGAGAATAAGTTACATTCAGTTTTCCTTGTTCTCCTCTCCCACCCCTAACCTTTGAATGAAAAAAAATTGAGGGGGGGGTGCTTGGTGTTGGCTTGTCTAGTTGTATTGTTTACACTGCCACTTGGTGGAATGTTTTAAATTCACCTGTTAGCCGGTGGTCGTGACCATTTCGTTTGGGTGTTGTGATTCTTGTTCTGTTTGTTGAACTGCCATGAAATGGGACGACTGTGGTTTTGCGCAGACATTTTTGACGGAAAAACATCGACAAGGCTACAGAAAGCAGTGGGGGCAGAAAATCTGCAGATGGTGGCTTTTCACTGAGGAATTTAGCTTCCCCTGCACACATGCCTTTAAAAACAAAATAGTTAGCTTCTAGTGCATGTGGATTCAATGAGCTCGGTGGTTTTTGTTTTGCTTTGTTTCCCAAGGTTTTGCCTGGTATTCAGTGGTTTAGATATCTGGCGGGAGAGTTTAATTCCCCCCACTGTGTTTCCTGGGAGAAGAGCCAGCCTGGGTAACCTTGGGCAAGCTGCACAGTCCTAGGATGTCCCCAGAAGAAGGGGATGGGAAACGACTTCTCAGGACTATCTACCTCCAAAGCCCGTGAAAGGGTAGCCATAAATCAGAATTGACAGCACATGATTATTAAAGCTAGGTTGGGAGTTCTATTCCCCACTTATGCCTCCTGAAGAAGAGCCAGCCTGGGTGGCCTTGGGCCAGCTGCACACCATCCCAGGGTGCTTCCAGAAGAAGGGAAGAGGGGAAACGACTTCTGAGTATTCTCTGCCTGGAAACCCCTGAAAAGAGGCTATTAATTATCCAGAAATGATTGAGGCAAGGCTAAAGGAACATCCAGTTGAGACAGGGAGCAAGGAAGCTAGCTTACTAACTTACTGCAAAAGTTTGCAGTGTTAGATTTTTCCAACTGTTTTGTGTTTTTTAAAATACAGATCACTCCGGTGCACGGTAATGATGCTCGGAGGTTGTCTTTCTCCTGGGAAAGGATGGACTGAGAGGCCATAGAACCGGAGAGCCACTGTGATAGACCATGTCTTCCCCCCCCCCACCGCTCCCCAGGAAAAAAGCTCTGGCAACTGGCTGCCTCGTCTTCCCACGTGACTGCGGCCTCTCTGCTTTTGGATAATGGCGCCATTCAGAGAACTGGCGGGGGCCTCAGAAGCCCCTCGCTCAAATTACAGCTGGCGTGTGTTTCCTAAGAGGGACACTTTATGGGTCCAAACTAGCTTCAGCCCCAGAGCTGGGCTTGTCTTTGAAAGCAAGTCCTTTTTAGCAATGTAGGGAGGGAAATACTGTGGGGTGGGGGCGAGATGCACAGTTGTGCTCACCCCACATCTCCCCCCTTTTCGCCTTGCATTGATCTTGCATCTATGCGGCCCAAACTATTGGGGTTTTTTAAAATTTATACCATGTGCATCCCAGCTCACAAGGCATTCAAAATCAGATACAACCCTTCCCCCGTAAATTATAATAACGGGATATGATTAAATAGAAACAGCCAAAAAGTCTTAATGACCATCACCCCACACTCCTATTCCAAGGTGAGCCACATCTTCGATGGGTTGAAATTTCTAGAAGAAAGGGACATATCCACCAACAAGGAGAATGAGCTGGTATTTCTGTAGAGAAGGAAACATTTATGCCCTGTGTTTCCGCACCACGATCAGGCAAACTATGGCTTATATTGTAGAGTTCACAGCTTGGAGCATTACATTTTAAGACAAATTTACTGTGTTAATTTGCTACTTCTTAGCAGCTAGATTACTTTTATTGATGCTAAAGTAATTCAGTACACTGCCTGTTGTGAATGTGCTGACCTTATCAACCGGGCAGAAAATTACCGGGAAATACTCTCTGCTTCCCCCTAATGGCTGATTTTGATATTGCATCTTGAAAATACTTCTACTGTAAAAATACAGAAGGCAGAACTAAAGACCACTTCCCTTGCAACTTAGAACTGGCAAAGCCTGGAAAAAATGTCTCAACATACCCTTGAAAAGTGACTTTTCAGAGTCACTACCTGTTACAACTAAAAAGCAATTTTGGAACTACTCATTCCAGGTCTAGTTACTCCAAAGTGACTGGTTATAGGTTGATGTTATTATATGTCAAATCTCAGTTTTGGAAGAAAGATGAATTATAAAGGAACAAAAACTTGGAAATACATATAGGTGCAAAGCAAAACAAACTAATATGAATCTAAGATAGCCATTAATACAATGAATTTAAGAACTATTCTTACATGTGTTGCTATTTACTGTCATTGCTGTACATGCTAAGGGGGGGGGGTCTGAATGGCCAGTCAGAGGTTTTAACGATGCTGGAGTGGCCCAGACGCATTTCTACAGCTGACAGGGATTCCTGTCTCTGATATTTAGAATCTGCTCTTAGGGAATGATCTCCTGTGGAGGTAGAAAGACCAAACAAAGAGAACTTTTATGCCACTCTTGGAATGTTTAGCAAACAAGGCATGTGTATTTTGGAAATCCGCACACCAAACCTATAAGGTAGGCCTGTAGTCAGGGGCAGGTCTGCTATGAAACTAATGAAGCTTATGCTTCAGGTCTGCTAATCCCGGGGGGGCAGAAATCATTTTAGCCCATATTATTTTTAATGATGTTGATCTTTCACAGGACAACCCCATTGGAGAAGATAACAGCGGTCGCCAAGACCTCGTTGCTGGTTGCAAAGGGGGGCCCAGGCTTTGCAGGGAGGGGGGCAAACATTTAGGTCCGCTAGGGGATATGAATACCAACCTGTTCACAGATACAGAGGTTGTGGCTTGATTTAGAATATATGCAGCAACCGCGTGAGTTTCAGGCAGAGGTGAAATTTGAACACAGGGCCCTTTTCTGGTTCATCGGAGCAAACTATTCCTAATGCCCTCCTTTATGTCTTTCCTCCTGCAGTTCCGCTGGGTTTGTCTGCTGCCCAGGATGGAGGCAACAGGGCGAGGAGTGTTTGATAGGTAAGACGTTGCTTCTTCCTTTCCTTCCTCCCTTTTCGAAGAGGACTCTGCTTTTTTTCTTTCTGTTGCCTCTCCTTGTGGGGAGAAGGTGGGCTTTTCCTTCTGGGTCCCTGTTAGCCCCTCTTGGGTGGTTCAACGCCTTGCTTTGCCGTGGAAACTCACTGGGGGGGGGTGAGTGGCCTTGGTACACCCATTCCCTGGGCACCTCACATGCCCTCCCGGGTCTGTGTGCATCCATTTGGGGCGGTCAAGCCGGAACTGACCCATAACGACCCTATCAGGGCTCTCCGGGTAAACGAGATACTGAAGGAATGGTTTTACCCGCTCCAATGGCCAAGTGGAGATTCGAACCCTGTTCTCCAGGATCACAGTCCATCACTTTATCCGGGACACTTTTGCAGCACGTGACAATAAAGTAGACTGTGATTTGTAAACACCCAAATAGAATTAAGAACTCACACAGCTTGTTTTTTTAAAAAAATTAAAATAACCTCATCTCTGTAGCTTTGCAGCCATGATTTCTGTCTGCCTGTATGGGCATCCATGGATCACCCCCCTCCCTCAGGTCTTATTTTCATACCAACCCTGTAAGGTAGACCACTTTGAGAGAAAGGGATTGGAGAAAAGGGACTTTCATGGCTGAGCAGAGGCTTCAACCTGCATCTCCCACTAACCACTAGCCCACGCTGCTGATTCAGCGGTAACAGAAAGCACTTTACATCCCGCTCAAGGCGACTCTCCACATCAGCTTGAACATCCCCCACTAATGCAAAGCAAAAACCAAAAATCCACAGAGCTGGCGCTGTAGAAATATTGGAAGTGCAAATAGGAAAACCACACATATATGAATTAGAAATGCAGATCATGGAATCAGAGTAAAAAAGCAACTTTTCGAATTTGGTTTGGAATTATGCGTGCGAAGCATGCTCAGAAAAAGGAAGGAGGGACCATTGCACTGTACAAGCACATAGCAACAAGAAAACATGATATAAAATAAAGCGGAATAATGCACAGGTGTATTATTTGGCTTTATTTTATATCATGTTTTCTTGTTGCTATGTGCCACCAAGTCACCCTCATGTATGACCAACCTCCAAAAGGTTCTGTCCTCAGCTGCCATCCTCAGCTCTTGTAAAGCAAGCCTGTGGCTTCCTTGAGGGAGTCAGACTATCTCGTAATTGGTCCTCCTCTTTTCCTGCTGCCTTCAACTTTTCCCAGCATTATTGTCTTTTCTAGAGAATTGTGCCTTTTCATGATGTGCCCAAAGCAGGACAGCCTCAACTTTTTGCCTCCAGAGACAATTCAGTCTTGATTTGATCCAGGAATCACACGTTCCTCTTTCTGGCAACCCAGGGTATCCACAGAGTTCCAGCACCACATTTCAAATGAATCCATTTTTCCCAGTCAGCTTTCTTTACTGGTTCCGCTTTCCACCCATACATGGTGACTAGAAACACAAGAATGTGGATTATCTTGGTCTTGGCACTTTCTTACACTTGAGGATCTTGTCTAATTCCTTCATTGTTAATTCTGAAGTTGTGTAGTTCTTCTGTAGCCGTGATTGTGGTGTTCTTGATGTTCAACTGCATTCCTGCTTTGGCACTTCCTTCTTTGACTTTCACGAAAAGTCGTTTTGAGTCATTACTGCTTTTCTGCCAGGAAGATGATGCCACCTGCATATCTCAAATGACCCACGTTCCTTCCACTGATTTTTCACTCCTCCTTCATCTGAACCTAGTCCAGCTTTTCTGTAGGATGGGTTCTGCACACAGATTGAACAGGCAAGAGATAAAAGGCTTCCTTGTTTGACACCTTTGCCTATAGGACAGCGGTCCCCAACCTTTTTAGCCCCGCAGACTGGCCGGAGAAGGTGGGGCACCCCCCCACGCACTCGTGCACATGCGCAAAGGGTGGCAGAACACTTGTGCGGGCACTTATGCGCAGGTGCAAATGGGCTGTGCGGGGGAGAGTGCATGGGGGGGAGGTCTCTCTGTGCAGCCTGGTCCCGTTCAGGCCATGGACCGGCAACGGGCCGCAGACCGGAGGTTTGGGGACCTCTGCTGTAGGAAACCCCTCTGTCTCTCCCTATTCTGTCCTCACAGTGGCATCTTGTGCACAATACAAGGCACACAACAGGAGCATCAACTGCTGAGACACCCCCGTTTCTTTCAGGGGCCTATCATGACATTTGCCGAAAACAGTAACATGAAGTAGAATATAAAGGAGGATAAAGGAAAAACAGGGTCTCTGCCCCAAGAAGCTTACACATGAGATTTAAAGTGAGTGGGAAGAGGCCTTACGCCGGGACCTGAAAAAGCTAGCAAACGTACACAAGGCGAATGTCAGCCTGTGCAGGGAGTGCGTCTGAGTTTTGACCACGCAATGTGGAGGCTATTCTGGGATTTTTTTGGAAAGAACGGTAAAGCTGAGCTCCCCAGAACCCCCAGCTGTCCGTAGCCTCTCGGCATGTTTAATCTGGCAGCCAAGTTAACCCAATAGTAAAATTGCTTCGCAATAATTATATCTCTCTTTCTGGGATTTTGCTGCCGGAGCTGGGATTCTTTTGGAATGATAGGTTTTGGCGGAACGGAGGGAAGATTTAAAGGGGGGGAGGGGGAATCAGAAGTATGTGTCTGGTGGTGTGTTTTCCTCGGAGCGCAAGACCCCTGCAGAATTCAGCATCAGGTCTGTTTTGTGGGTGGCTGGTGTTAGGCGGTGTGGATTTCGTTTTTGTTTTTCAATCAAGTTTCTGGTCCTCATGGTTTCTGAAGATCTGGCTGAAGAGGGCAGGCAGGGCTTGGTAGGAATATTGGGGGATGGAGGATTTTCTGAGCAGGTTTCCCAGGGACTCCCAGGGGCTGGGGGTTCTGCGCCTGGTACCGAGGCTGACTCTTCTCCATCCAGAAGACCGGTGGTTCCCAACCTGGGGTCCCTAGGGGTTCGTGGACTGCAACTCCCAGAAATCCCGGCCAGCACAGCGAGTGGCAAAGGCTTCTGGGAGTTGTAGTCCAGGAACATCTGGGGACCCACGTTTGAGAATTGATACATTCTATGAAATGGGTGTCAGGGAATCCAAAGAGGCAGCGTCGGCCTTTCAGGCTGGCTACCCTGGGATCCTGGCCGCTGGTCCGAAGAGGGTGCCAGACTTGGCCCATCGCCCTCATCTGCAGTGGTGAAGGTTTGTGGAAGAGTCCTCCGCTGGGCTTCCAAGGAAGCCAGGAAATAAAATTCTCAGGGGCCACAAACCCACGGCAGGTGGGACAGAAAACAGCAGCCTGGCTTAGCTCTTATTGCTGAATCCTCCAGGAAGGATTCTGACCTTTTTAAAATGGGGGTGTATGCAAAAGTCAGGAAGCCAGCCGGTGATGGAGTCCTGGGAAGCCGTATGTGGCCACCAGTGGCCTGGATTCAGCCCCAAGGCCAGGGCTCCCCACCTCCCTCCCCCTTGATCGGCTCTGGCTTGGTCACGTTAGACAGGCCACGGCAGGACCGGGGACCACCAACTTGGCTGGGGATCTCTGTGGGTTTTTTTGGTCTGGGACTGAAAAGCTTGCCATTGCCGCCACCTGAGCTCTGGAACCCGGTCCCCAAAGTTTCCGGTCAGAGACTCCATTGTTGGCCTTTCCACAGAAGAGAGGAAAGCAAGCCGAGAGCTGGATGTTCTCGGGCGTCGGAGGAGTCCGGCGGCGACGGCTGATGGGAAACTCGGAGGAGCTATTTTTAGACGCCTCTTAAACTCTCTAGCGTTCCAGTTGGCGTGAGCCGTCTTCCTTTCCTGTGGAGGAATATTTCTCCGGGCTGATCAACAGCAGCCACGCTCGGCTTCCAGAGCCCTCTGCGTGTGAGCGAAAGCCAGCCAAGGAGGGCCTCAAGCCGAGCGCAGTTCGAGATTCCACCCAGGCGAGCAACGATTGCCCTTGTTTTGAGGGAAGCAGAACCGTCTGCTTCAGGGAACAGATCTCGAGGGGTCTTTGTTCAGAGGAAGGAAGCAGGAGGCAGACAGGCCTGATCCTGAGGGAGAGGGTTCTCCAGGATGTTTGCTCCTGCTGAAAATGAGCAAGGAGCTGGGGGTCCGGTCTCTTACTCCACCTCATCGTAAGCACGGGCAGCAAACGATGAACTAGCAAAAACAAAAACCAACGAAACTATTCTCTGTGTCGCCCCTACAAGAGCTTGAGGTATTTTATGGCACTTTTGGCAAGAACAGGGGCCGAGAATTTTTTTTAGTTGGGGCACAAGAGAATAAGGTCATGGCTGCTTCTTCGTCACGTGGACTTCAAGAATCAGAAGCACTGGATGGGTTCCTCGAATCTTTTTTTCCTTTTTTCCTTTCTTTTACACACTTTATTTAGTTTAAAACATTATCGATAGTACATATTTTAAAAAGGAAGGTCTTTTTTTTGGAAGATCAGCCAGTTCACCTGTGCTTGCAGCAGGGCACGTAGATTGGTTTGGCTCACACGCGAACCCGGTTCTCTAGAGTCACCGTCTGGCAATCAAGGCGTTGCTTCAGGCGAGGGGCAAAATTAAACAGGGGGTGAACGACGCAAGCAGTTTGAAGATGCCTCCTTACAATGGGAAGGAGAAACTGTGTCAGGAAGCCAAAGGCGTTGGAAGGAAAATAGGTTTTGAGGAGGGAGGTGAAGGAAGAGAATGATCGGTGCATGTATTTGCAAGAGTGTTGTCATAAGGGGAAGTAGGGTCCAATGGGTAGTGTCATGTCAAAAACAAGGACACTTCGCTCTGGAAAGGCAAAAGAGTTATGGATTTTCTAATGGGGGTTTTCCCTTTGGAGGTGGTCATTCTAAACATTGATGTTGCGCTATATCTCAACCAGTCTCAAGCCACTCTTCTCCTTCCTCAGTTTCTTACCCCCTAGATTTTCCCTTCAACTGTAGCAATCTTTTTTGAACCCCATTTCTCTTTAGGTGGCCAAAATATTCTATCTTTTTTTATGTGCTTGAAATTTCTTCGTCTTTATTCATTCACCTTAGCACTTCTTTGTGGGTCGCTCTCTCGATCCACAACCTAATTTTTTTAAAAAAAAAAAATTATATAGTAGTCTGTTTTCATATCCATGATTCTGTACTATCCTGAGCAGGTTGACTCTTCCCTCCAAACTGCTTTCCTGTGGCTGGTCCCTTCCTTCCTAGCCAGATTCCCCTCATCAACCTTTGGACCCACGGTTCTGAAGCTCTTTGGGCTGGATTTTAAGATGGAAATTTCACTGTTCTCATTTACGTTCTTCTAAAAGCTGAATAACAAACTAACACCCTGAGGTTTTCCACTTAAGCACCAGCAGCTTTCTGAAACACCTTACTTCCATGCCTTGAGTATTTTTGCCAAAATTTCACCTGAACATTTCTCAAGGGGTAAGAGTAACTTCCAGAGGTGTGCATTTCTGTGCCTTTCAACTACAGATGCTGGGATCTGTAGTCCAAAGCCGTAACATTTCACAGCCCTGCTCTAAACTCTTTGTTTTTCCTCTCTTGTCTAACCTTCGGTACTAATACTGTGTTTATGCTTTCCTAGATTTCTCTCTGGTGTCCACCTCTGGGCTTACTGTTGGCTTCCGTTCCCACGCATGGAACTGTGCACATGAATGCCTGGTTAGTGGTAGCTACCACCCACCCCGTTTACTAATGCCTCTCATGAAGGAAGCTTGATGTTGCCAATCCAGGGGTGGGGGTTCAGTTCTCCAGGAACCACCTTTCTCACGAGCATTGAGTCCCGGCACAAAAGCCAGGAATCCGAGGAGTGGGCGCCTGCACTTGGAGCAACGCAGGGGGCGAAGGACTGCCACCTGAACTCATGAGCCACCTTGGAGCGCAAGTCCGAAGAGCCGTCGCTCACATCAGTGGGCAGGGGGGGAACTCCCCGTGGGCTAACAGTGAGCCTTCAGCAAACCCCAGCAAGAGCACAGAAGAACGATGTCCATGTCACGGGGGTGGTACTCGAGAAAGGCAGTGATGCCTAGTGGGCACAGCAGCGCTCCACCAATGCCGGGTTCATTTCACATCCTGCGGGCCACGGCACTTTAGGATTTATTTTCCTGGCTCGTGGTGTTCCTGTTTCTTCATTGGTTTGGTCTTCTCCTGCTTCTGGGCCCCTTTACTCGCCTCCCTCTCTGCCTCCTTTCCACAATCAGTTGTGCCAGAAGCTGTTTCTTTTGGGTTGAGGGAGACTCCCCTCATTCATGATGGCCCCGTCTCTGCGAATTCACAAAGATCTGACCCAGAATAGTTGTGTAAGGATTTCAAGTTTGGAATTTCGAGAATGGGATGGTGTGTAGACCCCAGGGGGCGAGGGCTGCCTCTCCTTGAGTGAGCTTGGATAAGACTCCACAGCCTCTTCTCCAGAATCGTTCCACACCTAAGTACTCACGTACAGTGGACCCTCGACTTACGGAATTAATCCATATTGGAATGGTGGCTGCAGATCGAAAAGTCTGTAGGTCGAGGCTCCATTGACTTACAATGCATTGAAAACCAATTAATCCCGTAACTGGCCGCTTTTGTTCCATTTTTGTTCCGTTTTTGCTTTTTTCTGGTCTGTAGGTCGATTCTCCAGCTGCAAGTCAAACCTAAATTTTGCGGCCAGAGAAGTCTGTAACTCAAAAAGTCTGTAAGTCAAGCCATCTATAAGTCGAGGGTCCACTGTATACTCATTATATCTGGATATTTATGGATCCCTAGCCTGAGGTCGCCTGCTGGCGTCCCACAGCGGCCTCCAGCCCAGTTGTCGTTCTTTTGAGGGGCTTCCCTTTTCTTTCTGTGGGGCTAGGCACCCACCTCTCACCAGCTTCTCCATGGGGCTTACCATTTTCTCATGCCATGCTTCTCTTCCCCCCCCACCGCCCGTAGCTGTGTGCGAAGGCAACTTCACCTGCGCAGACAACGAGGTGTGCGTGAGACCCAACGAATGCCGCTGTCGCCACGGCTACTTCGGCGCCAACTGCGAGACCAGTGAGTACCGCCAAGCGCCTGGGGGTGGCCCCTTCTCGCCCCTGGCGACTACCTGCTTCGAAGCTGCCCTGGCTGGAAGATGCTGCCTTATTAGTACAGGCACAAATCTCCGCTTCTTGGGTGGCGGCTCCCGGTGACACACACGGAGCTTGATATAAACTTTGTTTTGTGGAGGGTTTTTTGGATGGGGGGCGGTCTCCTGTTCTCCTTTTAGGCCCTGGAGGCACTTTTCTCCCCTTCCCAAAGAAAAGGACCCAAAGTCTGGTTTTGAAATGAAGCCTCTTTCCAAAAAAAAAAATTAAATAAATCCAAACAGCTTGTGGGGCCAAAACTCTACTCCCACCCCCATGCCTTCTAGAAGACAAGGGGGGGTGGCTTGGTGAGGATTTTTTTGAAAGAAAGAAGTAGCCTATTTTGGGGGACCCTTTTTACGGGACAATGACTAATACCGTGGCAAGCAGCCTGCAGCCAGCCTTTGCCCTGATCTAAAGTTTTATTGCAGAGTTGAGTTGCGGGAAGAAAAAGGGGAAGGAGAGATGAGGGGAGAAGGGTGGAGGAGAAAGAGGTAAATAAGAAACATGAATCTACTTTAAAACAAGGTTCATGTGTGCCTTGTTTTAATAGGAAAAAGTGCCGTTTAAGCATAGTTCCGCTGCAGACTTTGTCCAAAAGTCAAAACCCACCAGACATGGGTGGCCTGTGATAAATGTGAATGAAGTTGATCCTCAGACCTCTTGACCGTCCTTCCTCAAATACAACTGGCTACTGCCGTTTTTCAAAATTATTCAAATTTTTGTTTGTTTGTTTTGTCTCCTAACGAGAGTCAGGATTTTAGCGCTTCACCCTCCAGGGTGTGGACGGTGCCTCTTCCTTTCTGTCTGCGCACTTCAGAAGTTGAAACCTAAGTGTTTCCAAAAGGAGCAGACGGTTTGGGTGGGTCTGGGGGAGGTTTTTTGTTTGCTTGTTGGTTTGTTTGTTTGTTTGTTTTGCCCCTCAGATACTCTAGAAGGTCATGAGCACCCCCCAAAAAATGCAAAGAAGCAGAAGAAAACTGGAATCAGACAAAAGGCCCCTCAGATACTCCAGAAGGTCATGGGCACCCCCCCCAAAAAAAAATGCAAAAAAGCAGAAGAAAACTGGAATCAGACAAAAGCCTGCCTCTAGTTTTCAAATATTTATTTGTTTGTTTAAAATCTTTTTACCCCGCCTTTCTCCTTTTTAAAACAAAAGGTCCAAGGCAGCTTAGATGAGTAAGAGACAGAGTTTAAAACTAACAACAGGGAGTAACGAAAGACTAAAAAGGATCAAGCAAAGATTGCAATAAAAAAAACAGTAAACAAAAGCAACACCAAAAACATAATTCAAAGCAGTAAAGGACAACCATCCATTGAAAAACGCCTCTCGCTCGGGTTAACAAAATAACAGAAGGATCACCTTGAAATATATGCAGAACAAGGGTTTAAGCCAACCCACCGTCACTGTAAGTTACCCAGTAACTAATTGGATAATGAATGTAGAATTGGCCTATATCACATTTTACTACAGGTGCCTAGGTATGTTTGAATATTCCTCCATACAAAAAAACACAATCCCATTAGGGACCTAGCTAGCCAAGGAGAAGGGTCGGTGGTTCTCTCTGGGAGAGCCGTGACCTCTTGAAAAGACGGATGATGGCTCTTAGTGGCTTCCAGGTCTACGGGTTTACCTTTTCCCCTGGGGAAAGTTTATTTGGGGTGGAGATACATGGGTGCAACATGAGTGCAGGCAGAGGCGATCCGGGCATCCAAGGGGCTCCGGTCTGTTTGCTTATCTCAGGTCAAGAGTGGGTGCTGTGTTTCAACGCTAGTTTGAGCCGCCTTCCAATCCTGATTGTCTGGAGTGTCGGGAGTCGGTGTCAACGTACTGACCCAGGAATCTGTCCCCGCCACAGAATGCCCCCGCCAGTTCTGGGGCCCGGACTGCAAGGAGCTCTGCCGGTGCCACCCCAACGGCCAGTGCGAGGACGTGACGGGCCAATGCACGTGCAACCCCAACCGCTGGGGCCCCAAGTGCGAGAACGCCTGCCTGTGCAAGCACGGCAAGTGCGACCAGAAGACGGGCAAGTGCACCTGCGAGCCGAACTGGTGGGGCCCCCAGTGCGCCAGCACCTGCTACTGCAGCCTCAACTCCCAGTGTGACCAGCAGACGGGGACCTGCAACTGCCAGCCGGGCTGGTGGGGCCGGAGCTGCAACAACCAGTGCGCCTGCAACAACTCCCCCTGCGAGCAGTTCACCGGGCGGTGCCAGTGCCGGGGGCGCACCTTCGGCCCCCGCTGCGACCGCTACTGCCAGTGCCACATGGGGAAGTGCAACCAGGTGGATGGGACCTGCGCCTGCGACCCGGGCTACAGGGGCAAGTTCTGTCGGGAGGCCTGCCCTGCAGGGTTCTACGGCCAGGGATGCCGGAGACGGTAAGACAAAAAACCCCACTTTTCTATGTTTGGCCAGTCGAAAATGCCCACGGCTTTAGAACAGGAGTGGGAGGCGCCAGAGCAAGACATTGATGACGGGCAAAATACTATAGGATTGGGATGGTCCGATTCACATTTTCTTATTGATCACATGATGTAAAAGAAAACCCATAGTTTTTTTCCCCTCTGCTGCTAGGGCTTCTACTTTTCTCTGCCTGATCCATCCGCATTGGTTCAGGCGGTGTGCTCTCTTGAACCTTTGTGGAATGGGGCGGTGGATGGGAGGGGAAGCAAAGAATCAGCCTTCTTGCCATCTATCTTCTAAAAATAAAAGTGAAAACAGCTTGGTGCCAGTGCGAAGGAAGGCAGGCAGGCAGGCAGGCAGGCAATGTTAGTAAGCTACAAGCAAAGTTGTTTAGCCAAACTTCTCAGTTCAGTCATTTCAGCCTTGCTTTGTTTTGAAAGAATGGAGCTAGATGTCTACTTTTATGTCCTCTGTTCTTTTAAAGATGGATCAAGTTATTGCTAGATGAAACATATCTAGGAGTGCTGCTTCAAATACTGAAAAAAGGTATAGTTGTGAAGGCTCGTGAAATTAAAAGCAGGATGGTCATTGGAATAATCTTTGGGATGTAAGCACTGGCTTCCTTGGCACACTCTCATTGCAGAGACATGCATAGCACAGGAGATAATGTTACATATTTTGCTATACCAGAAGCATCTCTCCCTGCTCATTTGTAACATAGGCCTCCCTTTGTGAGTACCAGGGTTCTTGCTAAGAGCTCGCCTTTAATGAAAGCATAGGTGATCCCTTACATTTGATGATTTTATCACTATCATTCCAGCAAATGTATGACAGCAGGATTGGCAGTAATACCTGTGAAATGGACGGAGGAGTGTGGACTTAATAGACCACAAGCAAACCATGAGCCAACAATGTGATGCAGCAGCAGAGAAAGCTTATACAATACTCAGTTGAATCAACAGACCACTAGCGTCCAGATCAAAGGCAGTAACATTACTACTACCGTATTCCTCTTTAGGCAGACTTTGCCTGGAGTCCCGTATCCAGTTCTGGCAGCTCCAGTTTAAGAAAGATATCAAGCAGCTGGAACATATCCAGAGGTTGATGGCCAAGATGGAAAAGGGTCTGGAAACCAAGCCTTGTGGGGGAATAGTTGAAGGAGCTTGATGTGTTTACTTTGAAAAACAACTGAGAGATTGTACCTTTGGATTTCCTGTGTGGCTGGGAGGACGGGCACAATGATCCATGGGGCTCCCTCCCAGGGCTACCCCTCGAGGATCCCCAATGAAGCCCCATGCCCCTCTGTGGCTTTTGCAGGTGTGGACAGTGCAAGGAACTGCAGCCTTGCACCATCGTGGACGGTCGATGCCTGGCGTGCGAGCCCGGCTGGAACGGCACCAAGTGTGACCAGATCTGTACCCCGGGCTTCTACGGCGAGGGATGTGAGCAGATCTGCCCCCCGTGCAAGGACGGCCATACCTGTAACCACATCAACGGCAAGTGTTCGCACTGCAACCCCGGCTGGATCGGAGACAGGTGAGGACCTGGTTCGGAACCCGGAAGAGCCGATCTCTCAATCCGAACCTCAGAAGCACGTGATTTTCGGGCGGGGTGGGCAACGTGCAGCCTTAGAAGGTCTCTGGGAGGCAAGATCCGTCTGGTGGCTCACTTAGTATGACAACAGCCGTGATCGCGGGGTTTGACGGCAGGAATAGACTATGAGTGGACAGTTTTTCTGGTAGCCAGAACAAGATTGCTCAAGGTTTGGCTGTAGCTCAGTTACTTGCACACAAATGCTGCCAGTCAGAGTTGGCAGTATAGGGTTAGATGCTAAGCAGGATTCGGCCTGGTATCTTCTTGGGATAAGAGACCATGAGTGAATACCCAAGATCTGCAGGTGAGGCGAAGAAAAGTTCTTGTCTGAAAACTCAAGAGACCTGCTGCTGCCAGCCAGAGCTGACCACACTGAGGTGAATGGGCGATAGGTGTGACTGATCGGAATGGAACTCGTTCTGCGGTCTCTGTTTCTCACTCATCCCAAAGCCCCTTGTTGATCCTGTGCTTTCCTCCCTAGGTGCGAGACCAGGTGCCGGAACGGGACCTATGGTGAGAACTGTGCCTTCGTCTGCAGCGACTGTTTTAACGGCGAGTGCGACTTCGAGACGGGGAAGTGCATCTGCAGGCCAGGTTTTCGGGGACTTTCGTAAGTGGAGCACGCTCTTGAGTTCCATCCGGGAAACTGGGGGAAACAGACCACGCTGGCTGGGAGGGTGGAATTCTGGCACAGTTGCGCAAATTAAAAAGAAAGTTTTTCCCCCAGGTTCAAATCCTGACACCCCTGTTTGCTGCCGGCAGGGCTCTTGTTTGAATTAAAACTTGGGGGGAGTCCTGCAACTTCCAAAACCACCAGGCGTTTACTGTTAAAGGAAATCTCCTTTTTTGCCCACCCTGTCCAAAGTTGAAATACCACAAATCAACTTGGATTTTTGGGTTATGTGTCATTTTGGAGAGGCTGGGGGAAATTAGATGTCTGTTTCCAGGATCTCACAGGGCCAGAATAAGGGGTGAGGGAGTTTTCTTAGAACTGCAGGGCTGGAAAGGGGACCCTGTAGATCATCCAGTCCAGCCCCTGTCCAGGAGGTCCAGTGGGGGGAATCGAACTCCCAACCTCTGGCTCCACAGCCAGAGCCCCAAGCCACTGAGCTATCCTGCCTTTTGCCCCCAGTTCTTCCAAACAGGGAGGGCCTTCTCCCTCTTCCAGCACCAGACCCATTGTTTGTGGTGAGTTTGTTTCCTGCTGTTCCAGAAGATAAGCCCTAAACTGACAGATGCCAGTTCGAGATTGCAACTAAACATTAGGAAGAACTTCCTGAAACTTATGATTGTTTGAGAGGGGAATGGGCTGTCCCTTTACTGAAGGATTTTATACAGGGGTCAGATGGCCCTCAGCAAGGGGTGCTTTAGCTGTGGGTTTCCGACATTGTCGTGGACTAGATGATCCTTGGGTATCCCATCCCACCAAAGAATCGAACGGTTCATCTTTTGTGTTTGTGTGGATTTCTGTAACATACACAACGTAGAAGGGCACCCTAATGGCCGCTTTCTTGTATCGACTGCTGAACGGGTCGGGACTGGACGGCCTGCTTGTCTCTTGGACGGCGGAGGCTGTTCTCCTCGTTGGGTGCCTGGGCTCCCCTCCATGAAAGGAGAAAAGGCAACGGTTCTGTGCTTCATGCTACTTGAAAGAGCTGTCCTACAGAAGAGGGGCAGGATCCGTTCTTGATCATCCCAGAGTGCAGGACATGCAACAACGGGCTCAAGCAACAAGGAGCCAGATTTTGAATAACAGGGGGGGGGGGAAAGTTCTTAACTGTTAGAGTAGTACAACAATGGAACTCATTGGGAGGTGGTGAGCGCCCCAGCACTGGAGACACCCGAGAGAAAATTGGGCCGCCATCCATCCGATCTCCTCTGATTTGGATTCCTGCCTTGACCAAGGAGTTGGACTCGACGGGCTGAGAGAGGCCTTGTCCACGATTCTAGGACTCTATGATTCTACGCTGGTTGTTCTGAGGCTTTGTGTCAAGGGGATTTCTCTAAGAACGCCTCTTGACATTAGGCCTGCTTCCCTTTTTAACTGTGGTCATGTGCTGGAAGGCTGTTAGTCATGATTGCGTATTCGGCTGAAGCGGGAGGACAAGGCCGGTATTTATTTCCCCATTTATTTATTTATTTATTTTTAGCGAATAAGCTTTTTTTTTTCTCCCCCTGCAAAGTCAGCATGTCTCTCTGAAGTGTCTGCTCCAAACGGAACAACACTGAGACCTCCTCTTCTGTTTCTTCCTCCTCTTCTCTTCCTCTTGCATCTTGTCGATCTTGGGCACCATGCCGTCACTTCCAGCTTGAGGCATCACTATGAGTGAATGACCTCCATAAAGTTCATGTCAGCAGCTTCCCCTGCTCAGCTCTTGCAAAGCCAAGGCGGTGGCTTCCTTTCTAGAGTCCGTCCACCTCTTATTTGGTTTTTTCCTCTTTCCCGGCTGCCTTCGGCTTTCCCCCGGCATTTTGGCCTTTCTGGGGATACTCTTCCTTTTTGTGATGTGTCCAAAGGACAAGAGCCAGAAGATGCCGTCGGACGGCTGCAAGGGTGCCCGCCTGATCACCCTGGAGAGGGTTATTTTCATAAGAGCGCTCTCCTTGAAAGAAGCCCTTCCATCTGCTGGGGAATTGCTCCAGCCAACCCCCCCCCCAAAAAAGCAGAAACCCTACAGCTGGACCAAAAATTCCAGTTTGGGCAAAGACTGGGGTCCTGCAGAAGGGCACTTCCCTGTGGGATCACCAGGAAATAAGTTACGCCCGAGTGCTCCCAGAAGGGGTCCAAATTGCAATCTGTTCCTATCTATTCCGATCACACCCTCAGTGTTGTCATTTTGTGCTTCTAGGGAGAGTTCAGACGTCATTTGATCTAGCACCCACTTCTCTGTCTTTCCGGTGGCCCAGGTTGTCCACAAAGCCCTCCTCCAGCACCCCATGTCCAGTCCTTCTCTGCTTCTTTCCCCGTCACTGTCCAGCTTTCACCTCTGGACCTCATGATCAGGAATGCCACTGCGTTGATGATCTTGGTCTTCAGGGACACGTCCTTCCACTTGAAGATCTTCTCCTGTCCTTCCATGGCTGCCCTTCTGAGTCTCAGCCTTCTTCGGACGTCTCGGCGGCCCTCTCCCTCTGATTGATGGTGGAACCGATGTATACAACACCTTTGACCATTTCAGTGCCTTCCTTGTTGACATGAAGTCTTTCTTGACATCTGGGCCAGAATGAACCCATCTCTCTCCTTAATTCAGCCTACATTTTGACCCCCGGTGAGGTTGGGGTCTCCTTCTCTGATGCACTCATCTTAAAGCCACTTGTCTTTGTTCTCAGATGGCAGTCTATTTCTAACCCAGTTCCTAAGACAGCCTCTCCCAACCTAGTATCCTCCAGAGGTCTTGGCACTGGGTTCAACAGCTGAAGCCATAACTTTGATACATGGGAGTCCCCTGATACTCAGTGGTTTAGGTGTCTGAGACACAGGCTGGCAGTTCCATTCCCCCCCCCACTGGGCTTCCTGGACAGGGGCTGGTCTTGATGATCCACAGGGTCCCTTCCAGCTTTGCAGTTCTAAGATTATAGGATTAAAAACATGGAATGGAAGAGAAATGTTGCCTGCCTGCCTGCCTTTCCTTCCTTCCTTCCTTCCTTCCTTGACTTTGATACACGGAAGTCCCCTGCTACTCAGTGGTTTAGGTGTCTGAGACAGAGGCTGGCAGTTCCATTTCCCCCCCCTCCACTGGGCTTCCTGGACAGGGGTTGGTCTTGATGATCCACAGGGTCCCTTCCAGCTTTGCAGTTCTAAGATTATAGGATTAAAAACATGGAATGGAAGAGAAATGTTGCCTGCCTGCCTGCCTTTCCTTCCTTCCTTCCTTCCTTCCTTCCTTCGATGTATCCATCATCAACCCCTTCCTTCCTTCCTACCCACCCATCCACCTATCTACCTACCTTCCATTCTTTTCCTTCCTTCCTGCCTGCCTGCCTGCCTGCCCAGTTCCATGTTGTTTTGCAAAAGGCCCTTCTCTCCAGGAAGGCAGTCAGGGTAAGACCACATGTTAATGAACGCTGCCAGAGGAGGCATCTGGATCTTCATTCTTGGGAATTTGAGGTCTTTGGCATTTCGGTTTCCGGCGGAGTCCTGGCCGATCAAGCCCTTCTGCACAGCGCCAGCGCTGTGTCAGCAGACGGAGGGCCAGCTCTACAGCCTGCTAAAAATAAGGCTTGGTCAGGAGTTTACTCATCTTGGTTATATCTGAAGAAGGGGATGTCTACGCGAAAGCTCCATGGCAATTGAAGCCTTTAAGCTGCCTCTGTGTTTTTGCTTTCGTCTGGATCTGCTTGCAGAGACTTACACAGCTACTGCTTTGAACACTTACTCCCTCTTAGTTATGGGCTTCCAAGACCAGCTTGGTCTAACAGGTCTTGATGGTTTGATGGCGTCCTCACCCACTTTCTCCCCAACAAAACTGTTTGGGAGACTTCCAGACAAGCTCATGGGGGTGAACTTAGAGTGGGCAGTCCCATCCTATATTTCAGGGTGCCGTTCAGCTTTGATTTTGGCCAACACAAAACCTAAAGACTAGATGGAAACTTCTATTGCAACCCTTCTCAACGGTAACATCCCGGCATGTTTGAAGCGGACCACGGACTGGAAAGAATTCTTCACACCACCTTATAAGGCTCATTCTGCGACTGACACAATCCTGATCCGGCCTTTATGTCTTTCATATCGTGTTTGTGGCCATGGCTTAAAAATAAGTTTGAGTGCGGCTGTTCTAGCAGTAGCTGATCTCCAGCCTTACCCGCGTTGTGCTACACCCAAGGAAATCCCCGAGGAGTACATGAGATTTTAATTGTGGCGTTGCAGAACCTGAAGTCTAAATCGAAGCCGGGTGAAGTTTCAAGAGAGTTCCTGCTGTTAAATGGTGGCTCCTGATATCTGATTTCTGTCCTTCTTGAGGAACAAAGGTTGGCAACTGCTGGACTCTGAGATGGACCAGCCTCAAAGGGGGCCCATCGGTTGTCCTGCTCCCTCATTTCTCACCCAGATTAAGGGATGGGAGGGGTGGTGTAGCTGTTTGGGGGCCATCAGCGGGAAGTGAAGGATGTGGCCCAGTAAGGTTCGAAACCCTCCTCAAGAGCAGGTCTTCCCTTGCTGACTTCTGACCAAAGCAGAGCAGGCTGGGCCAAGTGGGAAGCAGACACTGTCCTTACCAGTTCTGTGTCATGGCGCACTAGTCCTGCATGCGTGCGCGCACATGTACGCCCATAATAGTGGGTGTTTTTTCTGTCCTGGGCGGTCAACACCAGTGCCGGCTCCAACCACCGCAACTGCTCCTCTTGATCGTGGCTCCTCCAGGCTGTTTTGGCCCAGCAAAGGGGACTCAAGCGACTGCCGTTTCTCTCCAACTGAGGCTAAGAGGACAGGAGAAGGAACGCCGTGGCACTTTGTTCGGAGCACCTCCAAGAACCACCCAGTGGCAAAGGATGCAGGAATGGCCAGGAGCTCACCAGTCATGGAAAGGAGGCTGTTGAGGGGAGGGAGCCTCTGCCCCCTCTCCTCCTCCAGTCCCCCCATGACCAGAAACCAACCACCATTGTAGGGAAAGGGTCCACTGGTGCAATCGGGGGGACAGGGAGGGACAGGGATTCCCCCCCCCAGGGGTCTTGCATGGGACTGCTTAACCCCTTCCCTCCAAGGCACCGATTTCTCTTGCCCTTGGCTGGATCCAGTGGCCACCAAACCCACGAAGAGTTCCCTTAAATCTGGGGGGAACCCCCCCCCTCTTCCTAGGGTTCTTCCCCACAAACACCACTTCTCCTTCCTCAGAGTGAGAGATGAAAACCTTCGGTTGAACTGGTGGGAGGCTGGACTAGATGCCCCTTGGGTTCCCCTTCTGGCTCTCTGAAGGAGTGGCCCTCACCACAGGTCGTGGCAGCCACTTCTGTAGCACCTGTCAATCTTCGGCCAGGCGGTTTCGTGCCGTCCCCCCCCCCCACTCATCCCAGGAACTTGAAGGGCCGGCTACTTAGAGGAGCTATTTTTAAAAGACAGCAAATGGTGATTTCAGGAAGCTAAAATCCAAAACGAGAGAAGTACAGTGTTAATTTGGATTTTTTTAAAAAAACCAAATCGATTGTGCATCGTGCTGTCCACCAGCTTTAGGCCCCAGCTGGTTGCAGCTGTTCCAAGGCACTCATCCAGGGTCCACCTTTGGTATGCGGGTCGGCGCGTGGCGCAGCAGAGGCCCAAGCCAAGCGGGAAGCGTTGTCAGGTCCCCAGGCGTGAATATTCCTGGAAGAAAGCAAAGGCTGGTGCCACCCGCAGCTGCTTTAGGGGGAAGCCTTACCCAGGAGCTTTGCAGACAGGGTAAAGACGGTGGTGCTTTCTGCCACCTGTGGCCGACGCTCGGATCACCCGTTTGGTGCAATGAGTGGGTGATCAAACAGGAGACCATTCCCAGTTGGGAGTGGCCTTGTTGGACCCGCCTGCTCTCCTGCTGTTTGAGAGCAGGCAACCTCGTTCTCGGGTAGATTATTTTGATTGATTGATTGATTTGATTTGATTTACGTGTACCACCCATCTGGCACCCGGGCCACTGTGGGCAGTTTGCAACAAATAGACAAGCAACACAAGAACAACATAATGCAATATCAATGCATCTGGGATTCTCGGCTACCAGTATGGTTATGCATGGGATTCACCTTCCCTTGACCTTTTGCACGTGAACACACTGTTGCGCGCAGAATGCTGTTAGAACTGCAAGGAGGCTGTGGGACATAATGCAATATCAATACATCTGGGATTCTCGGCTGCCAGTATGGTTATGTGTGTGATTCGCCTTCCCTTGACTTTTGCACATGAACACACTGTTGCACGCAGAGTGCTGTTAGAACTGCAAGGAGGCTGTGGGAAAAGCCATCAAGAAGCAGGCGTGACTTCCGTTTTCTTAGGCATTGCCAGCCTTCTGAATTGCCTCCTGCATGGTTGGTTCTTCTCAGGGTTGCCCACCTTGACCATCCGCAGCTGTCCAAGGTCCTGATTTCCTCTGGGCCATCAAACTGGGACCCCCCCAAGAGTTAAACTGGCCTGGGAGAAGCCTCTGCACAAAGCCCTTCCCAGATGGATACCAGTGGGACCACTGCACTCGGCTCTTGAAGAAGGAAGCCTCTTTAGATATTGTGCATTTGTAGAGTTCCACAGGACTGTAGAGGTCATCTAGTCCAACCCCACGCCAGGGTGGGAATCCAGCACAAAAGCCTCCTTGATTCCAGTGGCCTATCAATCTCTCTTTAACAATTTCCAAGGAAGGAGGTTCCCAGCTAGGTCCTTCCAGTCTCCAACAGCTCTTACCCTCAGGAAGCTCTTCCCGAAGTTTCTCCAGAATCGCCTTCCCTGTAATTGGCACCCCTAGTTTTATTTACTACCTTTTGGAGCAGTCGTAAACAAGCCTGCTCCATCTTCCATCCAGCAGACCTTCAGATATCTGAAGAAGGCCGTCTTGAAACAGCTTTCTTCCTGAGCCTCTGTCCTCCGTGTCTGTTTGACCTCAACACCCTACGTTGGGCTGGAGGGTGATGGGTGTTGTGGCAAAAAATAAAAACCCACATGGGATATGGCATCTTGGTCATGGTGGGCTTTGAGTGTGGAAGAGGTGGACAGTGGTGTCCCACATATGAGAAAATTACACCTGGCACCAAAGAAAGATGCCCTAAGTCGTTCTGTTCTGCCAGAGTTTACGGCTCTGGTCCTTTCTGTGCCTTTTCACATTCCCATTGTCCTGTATTTATATCCTGCCGTCTCGACGTCTGAAATGCCTTGGGGGGTTTTTGTTGGATGGTAGCACTTGGATTTATAAAAGCCAATGAGACTCAGATGTTTCCCACCGGAATTGCTGCCTGGCCTGGTTTTTTAATTAGGCTGTTCCATCCTCTGCGTTCACAGGGTGCAGCTTCTAGGCAGGGATACCGTCTTTCATTTGACATCTTCCTGGGTTTTCCCATCGCTTCTTCTCTGCTTTCTGTTCCGATGAACATTTTTGTTAGAGAGAAGAAAAGGGGGAAGAGGATTGAGGAGCTGCCCAATTACACACAGAGGTGTCGACCTTTTCCAGATCATTTAATCCTTCATTATAAGGAGAGTCTTCAGCAAATCATTGGTTTTTCCTTCAGATCTTCCTTGACTTCCTCTTCTTGTCTCTGTTTCCCCCATCCTAATCGTTGCTGTTGTGTTATCGCGTCCATCAGTGGCATGGACTCAAGGCTTGGAAGCAGAGCAGCTCTGGAGGAGAGCGTTAGCCCAGGTCCATCCTTGAGCCAGCTGGACCTGACACCCAGGAGCCAGTGAGGCCGGATACTCCAGAGATGGCCAAGCCCAACACCCTTGACCATGAGGTCCCCATGCCAACAAAGATGCTGGCAGGGGTCAGCACTGAGAGGGGCCATCTTCCTCCAGGCGCTCCATAACCCTGGGGTTCTAGTATGCCAAAGAGGTCCGAGTGTCCATCTGTCAAGATGACAAAGTCCATTCAGCTCCAGTCATGACTTAGAGAGACGTTTTTAAAAATGTAAATGTTTAAAAAAAGCTACATGATCCCAGTGCCAAATCTGGGAACAAGGGTGGGTGATCCCTGCTTCAAAAGCAAACTAGCTTTTGAGTCCTGCAGGAGCGTTCACCAGGCTGGGCACGGGAACTGAAAAAAAACTCTAAATGATCCACAAGGCGCCGAGGCCAGAGGTTTCCCTTCAAGGGATGTGGATTTGATGGTCTTTCCCCATCTCAATAGACAAGGATTTGCCTAGATGTTCGAAATCTTCTTTTGTGCCTTCCGTCTGACTTGGTGGGAAGGGGGGGGGAGTTCAAAGGAGGGAGTCCTGAGCTAGAAACCCAAGAGGTCTTTCTTAGCCCAGGTCCTGCTGTCTTGGGATCGGGGTGGGGGGAGTTTGCTTCCTGGGAGCTTTCCATGGTGCTGATCCTCTTGAGTCCATGTGGGCTCTGGGGGCCCTTCAGAACACAGCCACACCTGCCTACGAAAAGGAGGAGGTTTGCACATGCTTTAGGACACAGACCATCGCCTTCAAACTTTTTCATCTGGTTCTCCAGGGCCTCCAGACTGGGATGGCGCGAGCAGGAAAAAAGCAGAGCCTCTGGGCGTGACAGTCCTTCCAGGCAAGGCCCGAGTCCACGGTAGAGGAATTGTCTGTGATCCTAAGATTACTAGGAAGTTGTGAAATGAGCTGCCTTTTCTGGGGAGTGGCGTCTTCAGGTCAGTGTTAGACGGCCTGCCTTCTCTACTGACGCTGAAATACCTTCTCAAATCAGAAGCCTGGATGATTAATAGGAACAGTCTGCATGCATACCTGGGCGTATCTGATCCTGACTACTGGAGCTTGGCTAATGTTTGGGGGAAGAGACCACCAGAATAAACCAGGGGTCTGCAGCTAGAGTTAGAAAGAATCCTGCGTAAAACCTGGGGACCCACGGCTGCCGTCCGAGGAAACAACACCGGTCTACATAGACCGAGGATCTGCTTCAACGGAAGAGAGCTTCCTGGGTTCCTATGTGTCACCTCCTTGCCCTAAGTGGTACGTCATGTCTCACGCAGTTCCAGAGTCTCAGGGCGTCATTTGGCTGGTGTTTGGCTGACGGCAGCCGAGGGGCTTGGCATCCATCTCGACTGCTAAGGATTATGGGTACAAAAATGGGTTTGGGATCTTGTTCAGAGACTCTGATTTTGTCTCATCCCCTCTTGTGTGTCTTATTGACCTTGGGTTTATTTTTTTTGTCCTACTTTATGAAAGAGCCGTAGGTTACTGTGTATAAAACAAATGTTTGGCTGTGTTCTGTTTTCTTCTGATTCATGGTATCCAAACTATGATCTCTGTCTTTAGGGTGGAATAAATCTAACTCTCCAGAAATATTGGGTGTGAATGGGAGCACAGTGGGAGCATCTCTGCTGACTCTCGGAGAGGCCTTCTAAAGTCTGAGAGTCCCCAGAATGGGTTGGACAAGCAGGAGTGGCGCCAATGAAGTCTACCTTGCAGGGTTGGCATTTGGCACCGGAATCCAGTTCTGCCAAACCTGGGGAACCGGAGACAGTGGTGTTTGGCTGGTTCAGGTTCTCAAAGTTTCCGCATTCCCCATTTGCTCCTGACATCTGACTGTTCTTTTCTCAGCTGTAACCTGACGTGCCAGACGGGTCAGTATGGCGTGAACTGTGCCGAATCTTGTAACTGCCATGAAGATTCGTGCGATCCTTTGACCGGGAACTGCCGCATGGGTACGTCTATTCAAGATTTGTGGATTATGTTGGGGGCCCTGCTTTCTAGTCAACAAAAAAGAAGGGGCTCAATATGGCTGTCCTCCTCTCCAATGTCACAGCATCTTGTGAAGTAGCTGAGGCTCAGAGAGGGCAGCAGGCCCAAAGTCACCAACTCGATTTCGCAGCTGAGGTGGGGATTTGAACCAAGGTCTCCTGAGCCCAACATTCTGCCCACTACACCATTTTCACCTTTTTCACATGCCCTCTCTGCGGAAGCTTTTGGGAGCGGATTCAGCCCCTGCCAAGGGAATCCGGTGGTCTGATTCCTTCCCTCTGCTAGTTGTGAGATGCTGATGGTGGGAACTCTTGATTGCCTTCCAGAGGCCAACCAACGGATGGGGGTGATTGGGGCCGGCGCCCTGTTGACTCTGCTCCTCATCCTGCTCCTCTCCTTTCTGTGCTGCTGTTGCGTCTGTCGCAAGAAGGACCAAGCTCGTACTGAGTAAGTACTGGGTTTGAATTTTGTCAGAGGGTTCCTAATTAGAGAACAGGAGAACCTCTGATGCAGAGTGTCCTCCATCTCTGTCTGAGAAGGGCCAGGTGGCAGGGGCTCCAGTCTACCCAGAGGATGGGGGGGGGAATGTCCCATGTATTGTACTTATTTATTTATGCATTTAAAATATTTCTGTCTTGTCCATTATCACAGAATGTCAGGTTAAGGTGCAACACAAGCAATTTAAAATAAGGTGGGGAGGGCAACCTGTCTGGTCTAGGGGCTAGCACCAACCTTAGCAACCAACCGAACTGACTGATTTATTTATGCATTTAAGATATTTCTGTCTTGTCCATTATCACAGACTGTCAGGTTAAGGTACAATACAAGCAATTTAAAATAAAGGGGGGGGCAACCTGTCTGGTCTAGGGGCCAGCACCAACCTTAGCAACCAACCGAACTGATCAACAGCACACAAACAACACAACTTCATCCACCAGCCAAGGAAAGAGAGGGCAAAAGAACACTCTGCAGGGAGGCTGAGTTTGAATTCAAAAGCTGGAAGGAATACAGTGGTGCCTCACTTGACAATGTTAATTCATTCCAGCAATATCGTTGTCGTCAAACAAAATAAAAAAAACATTGAAACACATTGAAAACCGCTTAATGCATTCCAAGGCTGAATACCTGCTTGTCCAGTGAAGATCCTCCATATGGTGGCCATTTTCAATGCCTGTAAAGTGAGGAATCCATCTTAGAAAACAGCGGGGGGGGCATTTTCTTCAGCCAGCGGCCATTCTGAAACCCGATGATTAGCTGTTTGCTGATCACCGTAAAGCGAAAATCGGTTCCCGAAGCAGGGAACCGATCATCGCAACCGAACTGATCAACAGCACACAAACAACACAACTTCATCCACCAGCCAAGGAAAGAGAGGGCAAAAGAACACTCCGCAGGGAGGCTGAGTTTGAATTCAAAAGCTGGAAGGAATAATTGGTTGGTGATGGATAGAGAGATAATCACCCCAGCCCAGAAAAGTTTCTCCGGGTCACACAAATTGCGGACAGCATGCGAGGTTGCAAATGAGACACCAACATGAGATGGAGTCCATGTGGGCACTTCAGAATTCTGCCGCTGTGCCCTGCCATCAACACAGAGCAGATCAAACATTAAGAGAAAAGGCAGGCGAGGAAAACCTGACCCCGGGCAAGGCTTTGACCAGGTGTCCGTCTCCCTTTCCAGCACGAGCCAAGACCCTACTCACAAGAAGTCCCCAAGGCGTCTCTGTGGCAGGTTCAGCCGGATCAGCATGAAGCTCCCGCGGATTATGCAAAACCGATTGTAAAAACATCAACGTAATGCAGATTCGTTGCAGAGCGGAGTAATCGTCCAGCGGGGCACGACTTTAATTGGTTGGTGATTGATAGAGAGATAATCACCCCAGCCCGGAAAAGTTTCTCTGGGTCACACAAATTGCAGACAGCATGCGAGGTTGCAAATGAAACACCAACATGAGATGGGGTCGATGTGGGCCCTTCAGAATTCTGCCGCCGTGCCCTGCCATCATCACAGAGCAGATCAAACATTAAGAGAAAAGGCAGGCGAGGAAAACCTGACCCCGGGCAAGGCTTTGACCAGGTGTCCGTCTCCCTTTCCAGCACGAGCCAAGACCCTACTCACAAGAAGTCCCCAAGGCGTCTCTGTGGCAGGTTCAGCCGGATCAGCATGAAGCTCCCGCGGATTCCTCTCCGGCGTCAGAAACTGCCAAAAGTCGTGGGTAAGAATGCTCTGCGCACGCGGATCATGGCTGCTTCGTGGATACCTTTTTGGATAGAGTTAAAAGGGGTCAAATGTAGACAAGGAGACTAGACTAATGGGAGGCTGGCAAGTCTTTGATAGCAAGTCCCAAATCTCAGAGTCCCTATTAAAAATAAGCATTTTTCCCAGACAAAAGGGGGGGAGGGGTTCTGAGTCATGAGTTGGGTCCAAGTCATTTGGGGGGGGGGACTTGAGTCAAGTCGCTGGTGCAACTTAAATCCAACTTGACAGCAAGTCCCACGACTCAAGTCCCTGGAAGCATGCAGGAAAAACTGGGAGGCACAGCGGGAATGTCCAGTCTGTTCCTTGAGTTCACAAAACTCTGCATCTCCTCTTTTGGTACATGATCAGCATATTTATTTATTTATTCATTCATTCATTTACATTTTTCTCCCACCCAGCTAGTGGCGAAGTCACTGCTCTGGACAGTGAACAAAGTGAGATCAAAATACCATAAGATAATAATGATGGAACCGATGGTACAAAATTCAAGGAAGGCATCGTAAAAGGAATGATCTGTAAAAAAATACAATAATTTTTAAAAGGAGGGGAAAAAAACTTATAAAGAATAAGAGGCAGCCAGCAGAGAGAGTCATAAAGATTCAAAATAGAATTCATCAGAAAATAAAATTAATCTGGGGCAAGGCCCTGAAAGAACTGCCATGATCTAGGGCCGGGGGAACAGACCGAGGAGCCCTTCTGAAGCTCAAATGCAATCATAGAATCCTACAATCATGGAGTTGGAAGGGGGCCTCTAAGGCCATCCAGTCCAACCCCGTGCTCAAGGCAGGAATCAAAGCACACCTGGCAGACGGTGGTCCAGTTTTCTCTTGAAGGCCTCCAGCTTTGGAGGGCTCACTATTACCCAAGGTCATTGGTTCCTTTGTCGTACTGCTCTGACAGTTAAGAAGTTTTTCCTGCTATTCAGCCTAAATCTGGCTTCCGAACCAATGCTGAATAAAGGGTGGACAAGAACCTCATGGTTCTGCTGTTGCTTTTGCTAAAGTGGCATCAAAGCAACAGCTGAGCAAGGAAAATATGATTGTATACAGGCACAGGGTGAAAAATGGGCACAGGAGTAAAACTGGGAGTTGAAGTCTTCTTTCCCATAGCGACATTTGCACCAAAATTGGAATGTTGCAAAGCATTTGATGCGGGACCGGGAGGGATTGGCTTCCAGACCTTCCCGTATTTAAGGATTTTTGAGATGGGCAGAATTTGGGCCTTGTTTTGCTTTCCCGAACCCTGCTCCCTCCAGCGTCCGGATAGGCCACCAGCTCTGAAAGCTGCAGCTCAGAGCGAAAGGAATCTTTTCCCACTGAAAGAATAACAAGGGCTGTGTTTATAGAAGCACGCTGGGTAGAAGGTGGTGTTTTTTTCTTCTCCTTCTCCCCCTCTCCCTGTCCTTGAATAGAGGCTGCTTCTGTGAAGCCGAGGCCCCAGGCTGAATGAGACCCTGTGTATGTGAGTGCATTTCCTGGCACTCACGGACGGTTGGCGTTTTTTGCATAAACAAGGGCACAGAGCCCTCTCCTCTCCGGCCTCTGTTGACTCAAAGGCCAAGGGCTGGAGTCAACAGAAGGGGGCCGTTGCCTCGCGCCCAGGGTGACGCGTCCGTCCGGGTCTCCGTTCCTCATGTAGGCGCTCCCACTGGCTGGGGCGTCGGGGTCTCCGTTCCTCATGTAGGCGCTCCCACTGGCTGGACGTCTGTGAAGAACGTGTATGTGTACATACCATTCGACAAAGATGGGCATTAGCATTGTAGGATTCGCTGTTGAGATGGATTTAAGTCACACCGGTGACTCGACTCAGTTGTGGCTTTTTTTTTCCAGCGACTCAGACACAATTCAGAGGCCACCCACCCCTCTCTTTTGTCCGGGGGGGGGGGAAAGGCTTGTGTTTAAGAGGGACGCGGTCATGGGGGTTGGGACTCCGGATTTGGTACCGAACACCCAGGCTCGGAGGTGGGACTTGGTACCAAAGACACCAAGGATGTGGGGCTCAGAACATTGCCAATCCCTGGCATTTTGGCTCTCATGAAATAAATGCAGGAGATTGGGAAGGGGATGTGGGGTGAAAAGAGGAAAAGTAAGAAATCATCGCTGGAAATCATCACTAGGGCATGGGGCTTTATCCTCCTTACCAGGCCCCTTTAGCAAACGTATTGAAACGGTCTTGTGTCGCCGTTATGGCGTGCTGGGACACGGCGCCTGAGAACCATTCCCTTCGGTCTAAAACGCCTGGACAGTTTCATGTTGCAGATTTGGAATGCCATGCAAAGTGCCGCAATCACACAATCCCTCGGTACCGGCCTGTCCTCAGCGTTTCTGTTCGCGGTGGCTCATGGCAACAAGTGCAAACCACACCAAACCCATTTCGAGGGTAGGTTTCAGCACCCTGGGTAGTCCCATCAATGCTTGGACCAACCCCCCCCCGAACCAAAACGCCAGCGCAGACGGTGTAAACGCAGCAGCTCGGAAAGCTTAGCCCGCCTCCGGCCAGTTTCCCCACCGGAAGGAAGAAGCGCAGCGCCAGCAGGACTGGTGCATCGCTGGCACAGCCTTGGAGCGTTGAGGCTGAGGGATTCCTTTCCTCCATCCTGCCCATGCCCCGGCCTGCCCATTTCCCTTGGCCCAAGCTTAACCAACAGGGCAGTGACGTCCCGAGTGCGAAAACTGCTACTTACAGCGCTACTGACCTCTCTGGCTAAATGACCTCAGACAGACAAGGGCTGAGAATGACTTTTCCACCACCGGCAGCCTGGTCTTGGAGCACAGCTGCCAGTTGGAAGGAAAAGGCACACCGTCGGATGGGTCAAACGTCTGATGACAGGAGAGCAGCCTCGTATGTTTACCTCCTATATGTTTGGGAAGAGGGAGCTTGTATGCCTTGCCAAGAGGACGGAGACATGAAGAGCCCAATTAGCAGAATCACTGGGGTGTGTGTCTGTGTGTGTGTGTACACACACACACAGAGAGAGAGAGGCAGGGCTCGCCAGCGCTTCCCTCGGCTGCCAGCGGGCTGTTATTTCACTCACCAGCGCTTCCCTCGGCTGCCAGCGGGCTGTTATTTCACTAGAAAGAAATGCTTTGGTCACCGGCTTTTCTTGCTTGGTTTGGCACACAGGGCCAGCCATATGTTCTTATGATTATCATCATTCAGCCCTGCGCCGTGCGCGGATGGCCGAGGAGGGGGCCCTGCGTGGCTGCAGCAAGGAACGCGGGAGGGATGGGAGCTGGAGACGCTGGGAAACCAGGCGAGATGGGGGGGTGGCTTTCTCCTCCTGGGTTGTTGTTGCGACACCCGGGGTGGGTGGGTGGCTGTTTTTCCCAGCATGGACACAGCCGGGAAGGACAGATGTCCACATGTGGCTTTAAGATGCCGCCCAAGCAGGGCATGGAAGCAACAGTGTTCCTCCGTTGTCTCTGAGATATACTGCCCCTAAACAGGGAGGCTCTACTTAGGTGTCAATGACAGATCCTGCCCCTCTTCTGTATGACAGACTTTCAAGTATTTGAAAAGTGTGATCCTATCACCCTTCAAGTCTTCTTTTTCTCAAGGCTAAACACGCCCAGTTCTTTCAGTGTTTCCTCCTAGAGTTTGGCTTCCAGTTCCCTGATCATCCTGGTTGCTGTCATTTGAACTTGCTCTACTTGGTTGGCAACATTCTTAAAGTGTGGTGTCCAGAACTGGACACCGTGCCCTAGATGAAACCTAAACAGTGCTGAATAGACGTGGTGTCCAGAACTGTACACTGTGCTCTAGATGAAACCTAAACAGTGCTGAATAGAGGGGAACTAACACCTCACAGGATTTGGAGACTATACGTCTTTCTGTTCATGCATCCTAATATGGATGTGTTGGCCTTTTTTGCTGCCACCTCACACTGTGGGCTCATATTCAGCTTCTGATCTACAGTGATTCCAAGCTCCTTCTCACTCATAGCATTGCTGAGCCACCTTGTAACTCTGAATTTGAGGGGTTTTTTCCCCCTCTAGGTGTAGAATTTTGCACTTAACCCTATTAAATCTCATTCTGTTGTTTTCAGCCCATCGTGCTCGAGCCTATCTAGATTCCTCGGGCTCAAGTCTTGAAAACCACTTCCAGTTCGGGATCCGTCAGTAATAAATCGGCTCGAGCCTATCTAGATTCCTCGGGTTCAAGTCTTGAAACCATTTCCAGTTCGGGATCCGTCAGTAATAAATCAGCAGACACCACCGCTTTGTGCAACTCTCTCCCCTCTTTAGCCCTCCGGTCCTGCTGGTGGCCCAGAGGGGCTGCCCGAGACGCAGGCTGGCCCAACGTCCAGGCTCCATTGGGGGCCTTTCCGTCTTGCCCGCCTCCCTCCCTGCCTGCCCGACTTGGAGGAAGCAGGCAGCGCCCTGCACAGGGAGCCTCTTTCTAAGGAAATCTCTGTCTTGAGCGATGGAAATTCCTTCATCCTGGCCTGGGGTGTTCTTGGCTCCCCTGCAACCTTCAAAGCGGCTTTTGATCCAGCAGGGATCTTGGCCATTTGAGTGTTTCCTTTTCCTCAGTAGGAGGGGGGAAAGAAGCAAAGAGAGGCACCTTTTTGCCAATGCCCAGGTGGGTTGCCTGCTGCTTGGCAGCAGAGAGGAGCGATGGCCCCGTCTTGCCTCCGACAAAATAAGGATCGCAGAATTGCAGAACGGGAGAGTTGGAGGAGACTCCAAAGACCATCTAGCTGATCCTCCTTCCGTTGCGTGCATGCAGAGCTAAATCCCCAGCCAGAGGGCCAATTCAACTTCCTTTGAAAGCTTCCACTTTCCGCAATCATCGCTTCCACTTTCCAATGGCTTACATGGTTTAAAAGCCTTTCAAATGCTTAATTAGAATCTCCTTTCTGCTGCAGTAGGACCCTTGTATCCACGGGATTGGTATCCACGGAGTCACTGATCCACAGTCTGAACATATTTAAAATATTAAAAGAAACGTTTGGGGAAATACTTACTTCTATAGATGAATTTACCAGAGCTGGCCACTAGAGTCAGAGACCGTGCCATGTATGATATTCTACATGCTGTGTATGTTAGTGTTCATTGTAAAACCTGCTTTATGTGGCCAGAAAACCAAGCCACCTTGCTTTAGTTTAGGTGAATACGATCTAGATCAGCACTGGTATAGTGTTCTGAGCCGTCCTTGCTGTGATGCAATTACAGTAGGATCCCTCGTATCGTGAGTTCAGTATCCGCTGATTCATTTATCCGCTGGCTGAAAATACTAAATTTAAGAAACAAACACACCCATAAATACCCATTTAGTATATGCATTTCCAAGGTGTATTTACCCTAACCAGCCACTCGAGGTAGCAAGAGGCCATAAAATAAATGTATAATGTCCAATACTTCTGCATTTTTCACCATCCTCAAAAAAGGCTTGGAACCAATCCCCCATGGATACCGTGCTACAGTATTTTAAACTCATTTGCTCTTACGACAGAGCCATCAAGACCTGCCAGCATTTGTAATAAAACCGGGCAAAGCCGGTTTTATTTGCTAGAGCCGGTATGATACAGGTTCAGCTGCCTGCTTGTCTTTGTGGGTTTTCCGGGTCTAAACTTAATAGGAATTAGGAGGGAAAAATAGAGAGAGAGGGAGGAAGTAGAAGAAATCAAGAAGTCTAAGGACATGTTGTTGAAGACCATTTACCCTGTTGGACTTCCAAGCACCACATAAAGCAACATCAACCGTTTCCCTGTTCTTTCTTCCCTGTAACCCCTTTTGGCTAGGCGTCCTTTCTGCGCTCCTAAAGTCCATTCTGCAATTCAGGCGGCCACATGTCTTTTAGGTGGGCAGTCCTAGCTTGGTCGACTTTGGGTTAGTCGTCGTCGTTGTCGTCGTTGTCGTCTTCTTCTTCCGTCGTTGTCGTCGTCGTCGTCGTCTTCTTCTTCTTCTTCTTCTTCTTCTTCTTCTTCTTCTTCTTCTTCTTCTTCTTCTTCTTCTTCTTCTTCTTCTTCTTCTTCTTCTTCTTCTTCTTCTTCTTCAAGCGACTGCCTGAGATGCTCCTTTCCTGGAAAAGGCAGCTCCGGAGCCGAGTGAAGCCTGCGTTTCCCCCTCTTTTAGGGGACGAGAGAGCCGAGGCCTTCCTCAGCTCACAAGGCAAGGACGTTGAGAACAGCAGGACAGGCTCTCCGGCAAGGAGGGGGAAGGAGAGGCCCACAGGAAACGGCGGGGCTTTCTTGCAGCCGCTCTCCACATGACTGATTTGGCAACCAGCCCCCCCTCCAGCGCCAGATGTGGGAGAGCTGAGCGGCTCCAGGAAGCTCTGGATCCTCAAGGGCTTGGACTGCACAGAAGCCGTCCTGTTCGGCGTCTCCTTTGCCCCTGGAGCCGACCCTCTCCGGCTGGCCGGGAAAGCTGGAATCAAACGGGTGGGAGGGAAATCTGCCATTTAATTCCCCCCCCAACATCTTGATTTCTAAGCAACCTTGGAGGGGGGGGGCTTCAAAATTCATCAGAGTAGCTGTTTAGATCCTCCTGTCACCCATTTTCCAAACCAAAATTGCCCCCCCGGCTGCTTTTTTGCAATGGGGGGGTTGGAAACAGAAATATTTGCCTTGTATGTCTTGCAGGGGGAAAGATCAGTGTGGCTACCAACTGGGTCCCTAAAATGTGCAAACTGTATTAAAGACAGATAAAGAAAAAAGAAATACCGTTTGGGGCTTCAGCCCCTTGCACAGGGTAAAAAGTGTCTTGTTCGTGTCAATCTTGTTATGGTTGTTAAAGTTATTTCCTAGTTTTAAAAGGGAAAACCAGCCTGCCTTGTGGGGTATTGGTGAGAAACGCCCGAGTTTTTGCAAGCAAAAGGCATCTGAAATTCATGGAGGTGAACTGGACATATTTCTTTTCCAGTGATCATACAAGGTCAACATCTATATACCTATCGTTCCCATTCCTTTTCTCCTTCCAGTCCAGAACTTTTCCTCTTGCCTCTGAGGGCTTATGGTTTTCTAACTGCAACAATTCAAGCCGTGTTTCACCTAAACCAAACAATCACAGCTTTGCGGTTCAAAGGACATCAGGTGGTTTTCTGGGGACATAGGAAGTTCAGATGTGATGTTTTGGGTCTGTGAGAGCACCCATCCCACATGTTCTTTCTCTCTAGTCACCCTGAAGTATTTTCTGTTTGTTTGCAAACCAAACCACTGAGTATAGCAGTATAGCGCTAGGTCCCCTTATCGCTATGTTGTGACACTACTTGCTAGATCCCCTTATCGCTATGTTGTGACACTACTTTAGCGCTACATCACCTTGTCACTGCTTTGCAAGATTACTTTAGTGCTAAATCACTCCACACAGGCAAAAAGAGATAAAAATCGCATCGACGCCAGCGCCTATGCAGCTTGCCCGTGGAGTCCCACCTGACAAGTTGCAAGATTACTTTAGCGCTAAATCACCTCCACACAGGCAAAAAGAGAGAGAGATAAAAATCGCATCGATGCCAGCGCCTACGCAGCTTGCCCGTGGAGTCCCACCTGACAACCACCCCCTCCTCAATCTTCTTTTTTTTTGTCCCACAGTGGCTCACCATGACCTGGAGAACACCATGAACTGCAGCTTCATTGAGCCCCCTTCCGTGGTGGAGCAGCCCTCGCCCTCGTGGTCCTCGCGAGGCTCCTTCTCGTCCTTCGACACCACCGACGAGGGACCCGTGTACTGCGTCCCACATGAAGGTCAGTGGGGTAGCCCCTCGACGGGGTCCGGCTGCTGTGCAGAACCCCCACGGCGCTTCTGTCCTGGAAACCTCAGAGCCTAAAAACAGGAATGGGCAGCCACCCAAGATCTGGGTCCCCATATACCCCTTCCTGCAACCCTCAACACGCACACACACATTCCCACAGAAAAACAGGTTTTTAAAGGGCACAGACCTCTGGGGAGGATTTCATAAAGGTGGGGCCACCGCAGCTCCTAAAACCTTTGCTTTAACTACCATGGTATTCCCCAAACAATGCAGGGAGCGGTAATTTGAGGGTGCTAAGGATCTTGGTGGGGGGCAGTGAGGGTCATTCCTTCTCGCCTAGTTCACAGGGTCCCACAGAGAAAAGAAATAGCCATTATTCACACTGAAATTTGGGGTGCAACGGGGAGCCACCAAAGCTTTCCAGCCAAGACGGCCTCCAGGGTGATGTTTTCTCCATGTCTGTGGCTCAAGGTTCCATCGGCCTCCTTTCCAAATGCTTCTGTGTGTGTCCGTTTCTTTGGCCCCAGAAACCAGAAGTAAAAATTATTTATTTATTTATTTATTCATTCATTCATTCATTCATTCATTCATTCATTCATTGGACTTATACCCCTTCCATCTAGCCGCAAGCCACTGCTCGGGGGGACTTACACACGAAAATAAACATTCCCATAAAGTTCAACAATAAGGCTAAATGCAACAACACAAAGGACTTTTCCCTAAACCCAACCCTATTGAATGGCATAAAATAATGCAAAAATTGTGCCAGAAGCTGTATCAATTAAACAAGGAACCTCGGGTTGTCAATAATCAAGTGATTAAAATTAGGTAGGGGTAGGATTTTTGAAGGCCTGGGTAAAAAGCCATTTTAAATGCTTTCTAAAGCTGAGGAGGGTGGGGACCGGACACACTTCCACCAAAAGAGATCCATAATGAGGGGCCACCACTGAAAAGGCCCAATTCCTAATGGTCATTTTCCAGGTCTCCTTGAGGGTAGCCCTCCATAGCATTCAGGATCAGGGGTGCAGGTGGGACAGGAGGTTGATCCGAGGGAGAGGCGCCCTGTCCTGTAAAAGTTGCTATAAATACCCATGGAAGTTTATACAACACATAAAACACACACATCCCATGTAATAGCATTGCAACTCTTCTTACCGTAAATGTTGTATGCAGAAAAACAATGGGAGTGTCGCAATACTGTGCCTCCTTGCGCCTTCTCTGTGATCATAAGTGTGGTTAAAATGCTGACGCAGCCCTCTGTGATAGCTAGGATTTAGGCTGTGTCCCTAGTTTTAACTCTACATCATTTTGTGTTTCCTTTCCTAATTGGTTTTGGGGGGCAAAGTAGAGAAGTGTGAGTTTTTTGGGGGGTTTTCAGAAATCAAAAAGGGGGTGTGATACTAAAAAGTTTAGCAGCATTGGTTTAGAAGGACATTTCAGGCTGGTCTGAATATCCCAATCACAGGGTTTAAACCCCTTACATTAAAATACACATGGTGATGACACCCATTTGCAAATGGGGGTGGGGGAGTTTAAGAAAGTTCTCAAGATTGAGAAGATCAGCCACGCATTCTTGAGTCATCCGGGGAAGATGAAGCCTCCATGTTCCGACATAGTGTACCTTTGAACAGAGGTGGTGAGGACAAGCTCCCTGGCCTCTGAGCATTCCTCTCGGAAACAGCTCGTGGATATGGAAGACTGAGGATAGGACCCACCGCTCTGCAGATGCAGTGGGACGAGGACCCCCAGGGTCCCTGCTTGTTGCCCATGCTCATTGGGGTCAATGGGTGTCGGGAGACCAACAGGATCCAGAGGGCCCTTGGGCGAAAGGGGACCCCACCTCGGTGTGGTCACTGTGGTCATCCTGGAGTTTTGACTTGCGAAGGGAAAGAAAGCTGACCTTTCTTTCCAGGAGACACGGTGCTGGGACGCCAGAGTTTCCACTGCGCAGCCGGATCGCAGCCCTGCGGTCAACGGCCGCCTCGGCCGTACTGGTGCTTGTTTTGCCTCCCCCCTCATTTTGGCAACCCTGCCCGGGCAGAGGAGTTTTGGTGCCAGGCCAGGCCCCACTGCGACACTTTGGAGCAAATCACAGCCCTCTGCAAGAGAGGCTTGTAATGGCTAAAGAATTCTAAGGCCACACAGGCATGATACGGAAAGAAAACACAAAACCATAATGACCGTCCAGAGATTTTCCCACCCTTGGAAGTTAACTCCTCAAACCCCAAAGTATTCCTTCCACTGGTAAAAAATAAAAAGGAAACCAACCACCCAATCCTCTGAGTTGTATATTTGCTACGAAAGGTGAAGAGAACTGCCCTGGGGGTGGGGTGGGGGGCAAAACAGGCCCCTGATAGCTTGAGCCCCAAAAATAAAAAAAATAAAAATAGTGTGGAAGGCATTTGGAGTGAGAAGCTAGACTAACCCCCTGGAGCCCCAGATAAAAGCCAATTGGGGTTCAAGCCTTTGGCGTCAGGGCCAAGAAAGCTGGCTTTGGACCCCTTGTGGGTTTTGCTCATCTTCTTTTGTTCCTTGTAATTTTAGGCTGTGTTCCCATGCCATGATAAGTCCACAGACCCAAGTCCCTACTAAAAACAAGCTCACGTCCCCAGGAAAAAAAAGGGAAGGGTGGGTTATGAATTGCAACGAAGCCTGATTTTGGAAACAACCCCCGAGTCTTCTCCAAGTCATTGGTGTGACTGAAGTCCAACTGGACACCACCTTTGGTGACTAAACAAACCAGAAATCAACCCCATTGGGACCGGGGATCTTGGTTTGTGGCACGCACGCAACCCTACAAACCATGTTTATGGATCAGGGTTTGTTCTGATGCTCAGGGGTGTTCCACAGAAGAAGATACAATTGTGGTGGCTGTCCTTGGTCGGAGGCTGAGAAACAGAGGCTGGAGAGCCATCTTGTCTGGGACGCTCCAGGCTAGGCAAACCCTTCTTCTCCAATCATTCCTCAAGAATTTTGGTTTTCTGATTTTTACCGTCGTCCCACCCCTGGTTTACTGTATTTAAGAGATCACCAAGCGTCCTCTTTTTGGATGCCTTCCTTCCGGCCTTAATGCATCTCCCTGCTATTTTTTCCCCTCCAGAGAGCATGAGCGATAGCAAAGACCGGGTCCCCGGCAGTCCCGCCGAGAAGAGGGTGCCCTCCATCAGCGAGGAGGAAGCCGGGGAATACACGGTCCTGAAAGAGAGCAGCTCCACCCAAGCCGACAGCAGTGAGACGCCTCTGCTCAAATCCTCCGACAGCGAGCGCTCCTCCTGCGGGTCCAGCTCCGCCAGCGGGGCGGCTCTTTATGCCAGGATCGCTCGCCTCTCCAAGCAGTCGAGAGAGGAGGACGAGAGCATGATGGAGAGCAAGTCCGCCAAGCCACCGTCCCCCGAGAGAGCCAAGCCGCCCCCTCCGGACCCTTCGACGAAACCCAAAGTTTCTTGGATTCACAGCAAATATAACTCTAACCAGTCTAACTCTCTGCCCGCCATCGGGCTGGGGGATTTGTCCGAGCACAAGCAGGGGCTGGCCAAGAGGAAGAGGAGCCCGAGCGAGACGTCGGCCGGGGTTCACGGCCGATCGGAGGAGAAGGTGGCCCCGAGGGGCAAGGAGAAGGCCCCGAAGCACCCCAAGGAGCTGGCCGACGGCAAGGGTCTGCCTTCGGCTTCGGGGGACCAGCCGTCCCCCTCGAAACCCAAGCAGAGGCACAAAGCCAGCCCGGACCAAACGGAGAATCTCAACGGAGCCGTCCAGAATGTGATCAAGAAGATGGGGAGCCACCCGCCGCCGGAGCGGAAGTCCGGCGAGGCCCCCAAAAGCCCCGGCCACGGCAAATCGCGGGCCGAAGTCCTGCACCCCCACTTGTCGCCGGAGGCTGCCTCGTTGCTGGCCGCGCAGCTGAAGGAAAAGACTCAGAGCCTCAACCGAGGGGACGGAGGGGCCAGGCAGAACGGGGTGAGCCCCCTGCCCGCCCAGAGGGAGAAGCCGACCCCTCCCCAGAAGGCCAAGCGCTCGGGGGCCGCCGGCAGCCAAAAGTCCAGCAAGCCCGTCCTGCCGACGTCGCCCAACTTGCAGAAGCTCATCAGCCCCATTGCCGAGACCCCCGCCGCCGGCGACCCCAAGAAGGGGGAGAAGGCAGGCTCTAGCGGGCCCCCAGAGGCCATGCCCGTCGAGCCTGTGGTCAAGAAAACGCCCATTAAAAAGCCCCCCAGGAAGAAGAGCAGGGAGGTGGCCTCCGAGCCGTCCAAAGCAGCCCCCACGCCCCCTCAGACTGTGCAGTAAAGGTGGCCTCGTTTGGGAAGACCGTCCAGTGGGGCAGAAGACGTGGGCCCGAGGAACGTGGACAGGGAGGGTCAAGATCCGTCCCGGGGAAGGGAAGACAAGGGCCGGAGGATGACATGGCCCTGGGGGGAGGGGGGTTCTCCTGGCCCAGGGATGGACCCAAAGCACTTCTGACGTCATCTCTCCTCTGTGGGGTTGGGAGGGGGGTTTTT